GCAGTAGATCTATACTTAAATCACAGGTGCTTTTCCTGTTTCCATATGGTGTAGATGTCATATTTCTTAGCTGACAGCATGTGGTTTATTTGGTGTCCTGTTTGTGGTTAATTCAAACCAGGCTAGGCTGAACTGGACCAGACTGCGTTGAGGGCGAGTAAATGCACACGTGCATGTGGAGGATTCTTCTTAAACACAGAGCAGCTATTCTCTCCCCACTCTGCAGCACCACTGACATACAGACCTAGAAACACTGCGAGCATAATCAAATCACACACACACACACACACACACACACACAAGGGGAGAGAGGAGAGGAGGAGGAGGAGAAGAGGGAAAAACCCCAGCAAGCTGACTCCTTTTGACAATAAAAAACAGCATTGTGCTCTGAGACGAATCCTCAGCAGTGACGTCTTTGCGCTGAAATTTAACTGTGAAGAATTACTTAGTGAGGCAGCTGTGAGTTTGGCAGGCGAGAGCTGGGGGCTGCAGAGGCACAGTGGACCCCCTGCCCATTTCCCCTCCTGTCCTCCCCCCCTCCTGCTCCTCCTCTACCCGAGGAATTCGCATTCGCACTCTCTCTTCGTGCCTAATCAGTTTCTCTCGCCATTCCCCGTCTCAATCCTCCTGCTTCTCTCTCACACTTCTCTCCCATGTTTCTTGCTGTCAGAAGCAATAAACAAGCCGAGGAGTTTGTGTTATTAAATAGCGAGAAACGCTATTTATTAGCTCAATATCTTGCCCCAAAACAAAGGCAGCGTTTAGACAAACAGTCGCAACAGCTGGTTCCCATTATGGATTATGGTTCTCTTCCAAATACCTACCTCTTCTCACCTGGCAGAGCCCGTCTCCTGCCTCTATACTCAAACTTTGTCTAGAAAGTTAAAAACTGAGCCTCCCATCGTGTAAGACAAGCTTTTTTTCTTGTGGGGAGCCCTCACCGACAAGAATGCAACCACGTCTGCTCCCCAACATATAGTTAGATACCACATTTCTGTCTGCTCTCTCCATCTCAACAGTGTATGAGGATGGAAACCCCCACAAGTATCTGGTGTAAACTATCAGTGATGCGTAGATGTGTACAGCGCAGGCATGGGGAGGGGCTGGAGAGACCAGTCTCTGAGGGGCACTGGGTGTGGCAGGATAACACAGGACTGGAGAAGCAAGAGTTAAGATCCACTTTCCCCTTGTCTCATTCAACCACTGACTCAAATTGTCTCAGTCTCATGGGGACTACAGCGCAAGACGAATTCAGAGCAAGTCCCTCTTCCTGCTCTAAAAAAAAAAACATTGTTAAAAGATATGTTGAAAGTAGAAACCATGAGAAAATCCAGTGCTGGCACACAGTACCAACTCATTAATGTGTTAAAAATATACATGGTTGGATATAAGATAAGAGCGAAACTGTATCCATACCCTCACTGTAAGCAATTACCCACAATGTAATGCTGCTAGGTGAAATGAGGCGACACAACAGTGTGGGAAATTAACATCAAGTCCCAACATTGCTGTAAAATTTTGGTTGTGGATAACAAATGTGCCTCCTCAACCCGCCACTTAGACAGCCTCTTCGCTGTTCTAGAAGGCAATTTGTCTGGTAAAATAGTTACGAGTGGCTCTTGAATTATGTGTCCACCTGCCACGGTGCTCCATTAATCTGGCTGCTGTCCTACAACACAAACACAATATGTTCTTCTTTGTACTACAAGCACTGTGTCCTTACATGAGCGTTGTTCCAATACCAGAATCTGAAATGCCTCAGATACTGCCTAAAATGCTGGATCAGGTATCGGTGAGTATGCAATGGTATGCAATTTATTGATAAACTTTAAAGCCTTTGGAAACACAGCTTGAAATAGTAAAAATGCATATATTATATCAAAGTCGAGTGTCTCATTAATCATCCACAAAAGTCTGAGTGAAAATAACCATTAATAACTATTAGAAAACCTGGTTTAAAAACAGCTCATTTTGCTGTTTAGACCACTTGCCAGGACAGAGTGGGCGTGGCAGATGTTACTTCGTAGAATAGTTAGCATAACTTTTACATGCAATGTTACGGCCAGGCTCCACCGGCTGCAAACATACAGCGTAGCGTTGCGGCGTATTCATTTGGGCTCCACTGACTGCGAACGGAAGCGACACGTAGAGAAGCCAGCGGGGTTGTTTACCGTTTGCTGAGCCGAGAGGCTGCATGTAGGCTGCATGAAATGTTAAAGCATTTTCCACCTAAGTTATTACATATATTTGAGTTATCTACAAGTTTACTGTACTGTTTGTCATCTACTCGCTTTCAAATGTCCGCCACGGACACAGCGTAACAGATAAACAATAGAAGAGCCGCGTCAAATAGAGAGTTGTCGCGCCGCTCTCGTTGCCGGTGGAGCCGCTGTAATTGATTAACAGGGGGGCGAGCTGCTACGGGACTCGCGCTGCAGACGTGCCCGGTTGAGCCCGGCCGTTAGCTGAGATGAATGACAACGGGAGGCTAGCGCTTTGCCTTTCTTCATTGAGATACGTTTTCATTGAAAACATAAATCTGCTCCGTTTTTCTGATAATAGCCTTTTTCATTCAAACACATCCAGTCTTAATAGATTAAATATGTCTTTACTCTGACACACACACCGACCGTCAAAGCGGGAGAGACCGGTGCCGGCCGGCCGTCTCTCTGGCGTTGTGTAGATGTATTTGCCCGCCTCGAATAATGTTCCCCTCCGGCTAAAATTATGTTGTTTCCCGCAGCATCACCTCCGCCATTGGGGATATGTTTATGCGTAGCAAAGCTAACTGCTTGGGGTTGGGGTTGGGGGTGAGGAAGGGTGCACATTACGTCCCCTCCCCGCGAGTCGACACGGGCACGGGCCCGGGGGGCAAGCCCGGCCACTCACAAGCCACCTCTTCCTGCAGCTCCACGAGCTGCAAAGGCTCGGATTGTCCGGGCTCTGGAGCCGGTCAACCTGATTCGAGTGCTGCTGGGAGCCCGCCAGAGGCAGAGCCTCCGCTGGGTCGCAGCCGAGCGGTTCAGCCAGTTTACGATCTGTATTTTCTAAACATCAGACTAGAAAGAGGAATTGGCTCAGACTCAAAGAGGCAGATTTAGCTGGAGCAGAAAGGTTTTGTTGCGGTGCCACTGGGGGGCGGGATGAGACAACTGAATGATGATTTATGATTGGTTTGGAATTTATTGCGTAATAAATCTCAGAGATAACCAAGGCCAAATCAAACCCAATTTCAAGAATGTACAAAAACTTAAAAGACAGATATTTCGAATTTGGATGGAAACAGATTTCTAATTGTTTTACATGTTTAATATTATGTACATAAGACCCTAAATTACATAGTTAGAAGGCTATTGTGGATTTGGGTTTTTACAGCGGTTACATTTTTTTTAGAATGCAATGGTATCGGATTGGTAATCACTTTCATCCGATACTCATCTTGATGAATCGGAATCAATATCCAGAAGAAAAAAATGGTATCTGAACATCTCTACTTTACATCCACCAGAAAAATGCCTCATTCAAATCTAATCAACTTTGACGTGATCAGTAAACGGCTGACGTGGTCATCTACAAGATGTTAAAGAGGCAATTCTTTGGATTCTGGTGCAGGAAAAGAGGTCACATTTAAATCCAGCAGTTCTGTCCTTCATTGGTGTCCTTTTGCCTACCCCGGGTCAACAGAGGAATGTCTTGTGGCAACTGGGCCACTGTGACTGGACACAATTCTGCTGAGGCCAGCGGCAATCCAAAGCCAGAGCCAGTGAGAGGAATAAAAAGGAGAAAGGAAGAAGTGCTGTGTTGTCTGTTGCTCTGTCTGCACAGTGTGTAGGCCGTCACAGCCTGGTCTTTCTCAAACGCATACAAAGGCAGCTCTGACAAGAGGAGAAGCAGGCAGTGAGGGAGTGGCAGAGGACAGAAAAAGTGACTGTAGGGGTGCAGCTATTGTGCTGAACAAAGAAAACTCGATGGAAATACAAATTAATGACATGACTAATCTATAAAAAGAACAGGTTTTGGAGAGATTTCCTGCAATGGACCACTTCCTCTAGATCTGGAGCCCAGCTCAGGTTCCAGCAACACCCTCCAATCAAAGCAACACAAAGATATCTAATCGTTCAATCAAAGCCGGGACTTGAAAAGCAGGCTGACTCTAGCCATGTCATGTCTGACGAAAAGAGACTTCTGCGTAACAGATGGGGCTGATATCATATCCCCTGAGTGGCCATCTGTGTAAAAACATACAACACAACACACACACGCCCATCTTGTTGTGGTTTGTCTACACGGACACTGCTTCCTCTGGGCTTTTTTCTTGGTGCAGAGGTTGTGTTTGCCCAGCGTCAACTCGTGGCCAAAAACCTGGTTCAGCACTCACTTGGTCTCCACCCACAAGAGGACATATAGTATGGCACGAAAACAAGACAAATCTTTACGTAGTGCTGCACAAATGGCTACATGTCAAACCAGATCCTACGAAATTACAAAGGACATAAACCATTCACTACTCACTCACATTACTTACTGCAATACTCTGAAATTCAAGACGACACACAGATAAAAAAAATGCCATTTAAACAGAAAAATATGGTGATTTTTTTCCTCCAAAGAACCCCCTCTGTGCTGGTTCTCCTTTCACAATTTACTCTCGTGTATATCTGTAAGAGAATCTGTCAAAGCACTATTTATTTTGCCATCTTTCCACTAAGATAACCACAAGGAGAAACCACAGTCACAACATCAGAAAAAAGTTGGGGTTTGAGGCTGAATATTGGATGCAAACTTTGATGTTGTAACACACTGTGAAGGGGGCTCCCCAGTTATTATTCAGGCTATGCCCCAAAGCATGTCAATGCGAAAATTATGGGAATACAGTAATAGTTCAGTGAGCATCCGATGCTAAAAAGCTGTCATTGGAATACTGCCTTATTTAGAGGAAAGTCAGTAGCTGGATATTACAGTTTATATAAAGTCAGTCAGTTGGAGAGTTAGATCATTACCTCCTCCTGCGAGGCATAGTGAGGCTCTGCGGCATCCACCGACCAGTAGCAGTAGTCAAAACAAAACTCCAGGAGCTTCTCCCTCGAATCCACAGCACCATCTGTACGTCCGTCCAGCTTCAGGGAGGGAAACACAAGAGTAAAGCACATAAGGATTATTTTCTAGTCTCTCTTTTCTATTTGATGTGAACCAATAACAGTTAGGGCAAGAAATACAGTACAATCACCCAATTTTATGAGCACAATTAAGTAGTATTGCAAAGTATACTGAACTTAAAGTACAGAAACAACAACTGCTTACATTTGATAGCATAGAAATTGGGCAGAAAGAATCAGAAGCTTATATAGAAGCTCAGCAACATACTATAGCTTTTGTTTATGAGACTGTTACGGTGTGGAATTGCAAGCAAGTTGTTTCCATTCATTAGCAACGCATTCACTCTTTCGCTTCTTTAGTCGCCTCGCTGCATTAACAGTAAACACCTTTCTGCTCACTGGGAGTGAATCCTGAACTGATGGAAGACAGCACAGCAGCATTTGGACTTGTCCAGGCACAACGGTTGCACTGGAAAAACAGTGCAGCATCTAAACATTTCTTCTAAATCACTGCATACAGCCTGGAGAACCATGTTGTTCTTAATGAGAGAGCACACTGTTATATTATATTTGTGACATTCAATCTTTTCCAGGAGTGTTTTTTTATAGGGACATAAATCTTTGCAGGTATATCCACTTTACTTAAAACTTATGCCATCAATTTTCATATTCGGGAATAAATTTTAAGTAGACAACAAGTTTGTGAGCACTGGGGCGTGCTAGTGATTGTGGCCTTACTCTGAACACAACATGTATTTGAGCTGCAGTGAATAAGGTAAAGGTAAATGTCAGAGAGACTGTGGAGCCTACAGCTGATCTATAGAGTTAGAGAGTTAGAGAGTTGGGTAATTGGTCCATTCAACTAAAATAACATGACAATTAGCCACTTTTTAGCATGCTGGCTGCACATTAGCCATAGTAACAAAAAAAAAAAAAAAGAAGAAGACCTCACAAGAGGGCTAAGCTGTTCTTTACAGGTGATTTGCCAAGTTTGTTGTAGACTGGTGACAAACTTGATCATGAAACTATTCAAGACACCTGACATTTTTGACATCTTGCTAGCATATCTGTAAACCAGCTTACAGACACAGGAAGAGGCCATGCTCAGCAGTCAGACAGGAGTCACATTAAAAAACTAGAAAAGCACTCAGAGAGTGCAGACCAAGCAGCTTAGATTTCCCGCCATTTTATTATTTTATCCACTTCGCTTCAACTGACCACCACCAAAATTTTACCATCTGTTCCTTGTGCCATAATCAACATTTCCTGAAAATTTCATCAAAATCCATTCAGAACTTTTTGAGTTATTTTGCAGACAAACAAACAAACAGACAAATGCCAGCGAAAAAATAACCTCCTTGGCGGAGGTAATGAATCACAGCCAACAGATATCTTTCCCGTCTTCCGTAAATATTCAGTCTGATACATACGGAAAAGTTGATCATTTACATCTGTCCCACAGAGGATAGGCCTACACACTTTTAAACAGCGCCTGGAAGAAGATCAGCTCTGCACTCAAGATTTCAGGGAAATAGGCTATACGATGTTTGATAAGGTTGCTTAGCAACCACAGACGCAACCTGTCGCTGCGCTCTTGAAAGGTGGCACCAAAAAGGCACAGGAAAAGTACCCACTGCCCAACCTCGTGTTTTCCAGGCGGTTAAAGACGCGGCATGTGTTCGGCCCCTAATTTCCAGGGCTGGTACCTGCGGTTATTCCACAGGCTAGTTAACATGTCGGGCAGGAAATCCAAAGTGTGGGATCATTTTGAGAAGATGAAGGACGAACCCAAGGTGATATGTAAACTCATCTTCATTGGTTGACTATTAAAAATATTTTTCAATACTCATCTGTGTGAAGGAGTGAACAGGCTAATATAACATGATGAGTTAGAGTTGTTTGAACCACTTTTAGACTTGTTTGACCACATATTTGTACCGAGAGGTGTTTGGATCCATTCCGTCCCATTATAATGTGTTTATGAGCGAGGTCGAACAGGTAGCGCCAAAAGCATAAAAATCTGTATGTGGCGGAGATAATTTATTCATGGCGCACAGTGTATGGGAAACACTGGGATAATTGCACTGGAAATTTTTTGAGATGACATCAGGGTATCATGTTTACATGTGGTGACTGCATGTTCAGTTGCAAAACAGCAACATTAGAGCTGGTGAGGGATAAATGTCTCGCTCAAGGACACTTGAGTGATGGATTCTTGCCAAGCAGATCGCTGGAAATGGGTCATTTAGTCACTGTTACACTTCAAACCAAGCAGTCAATTATCCAAATCATTATCCAAATAATGAATCCACCCAGTCATCTAGTATGTAAACGGACTTTTCTTTCTCTAACTGAGACATTAAGTAATACTGAGCTCTGGGTATCAATTTTGTTCACAGCAACTGACTTTCCTGAAAACATTATTGTTTAACCCCCTTAGTACTTTTAGGAAATACAACAATGGCCTTGTCGTGTAGGGGATTAGCCAAAAACAACGCCAGCCACGAGCAAATTTCCTGGCCAACAGACCTCCAACCAGTGACAGACTGAAGGCTCATGTTTTCCAACTAAATCAAGTTAGGGAAAACTGATAAGTTGTTGCATCTTTTTTCTTGTTTCACACTTTTTAAATGTAGTTCAGTAGTTCTTTATAACTTGTATTATGTGCTGTTTGTTACTCGGCTTTACATTTATTGTCCTTTAAACTCTAAACCGTTTTTTTTTCTTCCTGTCTCAGATCTTCCAAAACTGTCCCACTTTCCATAAATAATTATTCCCATGAGACCCGCAAGAGCTTTGGAGTCTTGGTCCTTTTCCATGGCAGAGGGAGGCCATATGTGGTTCGTCTCTGTCACATCATTTGTAACAGATTCTCTCCTCCCCCACCCAACTTCTCTCAATACTTCAGCATTCAAAATGTAAACAAAAGGGGCAGCTCTGTAACTACAAATTTAATCAAAACAAGTCTTCGTGTATATGTAACTAGGTTGTAGCTAAATGTGAGCAGTAGTTCTAAGCTGAATTTCTTTCATCTTTTTGTGTGTTTGCATCAGTTCTACACATGGGAGACTGGATACTTTGATATATGAACCTCATCATCTACAAGCCATATCTTTCAAACGCATACAGTTTTATCATTTCAACAGTAGCTAATGCAAACATTCACAGGGAAAAACAAGGTGTAGCAGCAGCAGACTGTCTGCAGGCAATGCAGCTCAACCAATCAGACAAGTCTACTCAGCAATCTGACACAGCAGGTTGGTAAGTTAGAGAAAGTATCAGCTTACAAGAACATGTAGCTCACATAATTATTTCCAAATGTGTCCTTGAAACCTGAACTAATAACTAAGACAAAAACACAACCAAAAAAATACTTTTCTCAGCTAAAATACAGTATAAAACAACATTTCACACTGCTCTTGTATTACTTAAAAGACCATTAAGGCCTGGAGCCAGATTCTCTGTTAAAACACCTCATTTAACACTAAAGTCTGTAAATTGTATTTTATGTACTATAGTTTCCAAAGGAGAAGAGAGGAGCCTTTAGTAATGAAAACAGACTTACCTTTCAATACCACTGTGTCTTCATCAGAGTAAAAAGCCCTTTTGACTCTGATAAGGACACAGTGGTTTTTTATTTTTATCCATTCTTGAGTAGAAAAAGGTTTAAATTTAGCAACAAATCTGTGTAACAAATGGTATCAGCCCAAAAATTGCTGCAACAACTTATGGGATATTATTTAGCATGGGAATGGCCATCATGTACTTCCAATCAAAATTTTCTAAGCCTATACACACTCCAAACTTTTAAAGTTTGAATATGCGCCTGACCAAGGCACTATGTAATCTTGGGGTTCACCTTTTTTCAGATACAACGTCTATGGGGCATACAGTGTTTACCTGCAATCTTCTACTAAAGATCCCCTGTTCCCCCTGAAGGCCCTGACACACTAAGCTGACAGTTGGCCGTCGGGCAAAGTCGTCGGTGCCGTGTGTCCCACACCATTGGCCCTTGTCGGCTTTTTTTCCCACTGATTCAACATGTTGAATCGGTGTCTGTGAAAGCGGAGCCAGTCGGCGAATGAAATTTCCCTGATTGGCAGTTCAGCCCAGTGTACAAGAAGAGAAACTGAAGTGAGAAATGTTATTAGGGAGCTTAAGTCAAGAGGGATTGAGGGAAATAAACTTGTTATATGAGGTAAGATTGTTTTTCTTTAGTCAATAAGCTCTATAGCAAAAGTGTTTCCTGATGGTTTGTTTTATTGTTCACTGGCACATGGTAAATATGCTTTGTTCTTTCAACATTTGATTGCGTTGTTAATGTACTAACTGGCTAACTAGCATCAAGACATCCGGGTCCCCTTTTTGCATGACAATTACAGACAACCGTTGTCTGCTGGTATGGAGTGGTATGTCCTCTCTTGCAGGTGTGGCACATACGTGCTTGCTGGCTGTTTAGTGTGTGTATGTGCAACTTTTTGGCCGTCTCACGGCTGTGTGAGGCAACACAGCAGGGGGCTCTCGTTGTCGCTAGTTCTCTGAAGTTGGTTTGGTGTGTCTGAGCCTTAAAAAAGACAAAAATACCTAGCCAACTGACAATTGTTGGTCAATGTCAGGTCGTTGGTCAGCGCCTGTGACCATAGTTTTTGCAGCATGTCCTGAACTGTTGGCTTTTTTTCAGCTGATTCAGCATGTTGAACGGGTGTCAGAGACGGTGAAGCCTGTCGGTGAATAACATCACTCTGATTGGCAGTTCAGCTCAATGCTCCAGAAGAGAAACGAAAGTGAGGAAAGTAAACAAACGACTAAAGTCAAGAGGGTATGAGATCAAAAGAAACTTGTTATACAAGGTAAACTCTTTTTAGCTTTTGGGCTCTTTAGCAGAAACGGTTCATAACTGTTTGTGTTATCATTCGCTAGTACAGAGTAAATATCCTTTATTATTTCAACATTGGGTTGTGTCGTTAAAGTGCTACCTGGCTAGCGAGTGTCTTGAATCCATCCTGTCGATCTTCCGGCTTCTTTTTTTTTTAATGACAAATATAGACTATCACCACCTGCAGGTATGGAAAGTTATTTCCTCTCATGCTGGCACGGAACGTACATGCTAGTTGGTGGATGGATGAAGTTTTTGTAGTATGTTTAGTGCAACTTTTTGGCTGAGACACAGGAAATGTGACGCAACGCAACAGTTGTCACTTGCTCTTTGATGAGTCTTAAGGGTTACCGCAACTCAGTCTGGAGTATGTAAAGTATGCTGTAGTTGTGTTGCTGTTTATATGTGGCGTGCACAGTGTCAGAGTGTATGTGTGTGACAGGAGGGGTCTCTCAACCTATGTGTATGTGTGAGCTCAACACATATAATAAACAACAGTGACATCAAGCAGGAAAAGGGTGATCAGATTCTGTAAACATCCTGTTGCTATGATAGATACCCTCTAGTAAACACAACTCCCACTTCAACCACTCCTCCCAACAGAAGAGACACCAAAACAGATGCAATATTTTACATTTGTGTGCAGCAGTTTGGATGTTGTCACACCAAAATACTCACCTTTACATTCCTGATCCTCACAAGCTTGTCCTCCACCTGAACCGCGAGCCTTCCTCCATCTGCGCTCTCCCTGTGAGCAAGAACATTGCTTCAGTCAACTCTGTACACAACTATATTTGGAAGCATAAAGAAATGTGACCAATGTTATGAGAAGGGAAAGATCAGATCAGAGAGAAAACGTTAACACATGCTTCCAATAGGGGAGAGAAGATCTAAAGGGACACCATCAGTATTGATCAGTGTCTCCTGCTCCAAATGCAAACTGGAAGAAGATTTAACAAAGGTTCACTTTGGATTCAACGCCCTGCAGACAGACTCAAATAGGTTTAAAGTCCCCTTTTTGCAGACGCAGATATAATCAAGAGGATGTCCAGATGAATTTAGGCCACTTGACTCAAGGCCGTCACATGACAGTTAGCACAATGAATCTTTGTGTGTGTGATCCATGAAATCGCCACTGACCAGTTTCAGATTCAAATGAAAACAGACCCTCACATACTCCAGAGACTTCCTCTGATGAGGCAGCTTGGGCTGTCTCCACAAAGTCGAGAGCGCACACCAGTTCTGTGTGTGTGTGTATAATTGGGACCAGTGTGTGTCCCCGCATGTGTGTAAAACAAGGTCAGCTCGGTGATGTGTGCTTCAGCAGCTGGACCGAGCACATCTGATGCAACACACGCGAAACTGGAGGCAATCACAACATGGAGCTGAGAGATTTTCGATCTCCAGGAGCGATAATGACGGCGAATGAGGCCTGCAGAGCAAATGCTCCGTCTCTGTGGTGGGTAAGGGGATAGACGAGCAGGCTGTTGTAATCGTCAGCTCTCCCTGTGCTTCGCCATGCGGGACTCATTTTGCCAACCCCAGCAGTGGCCCAACCCAAAACCACCAACCTTCAATCTCAGGCTTTAAGTAGTATGGAGGAGAGGAGGTTGGTGCTGGAAAATAGTAAACCTCATAAAAATGTGTGTTGATACAAACCCAAGACGAGCAATTTCACAATCACCCTGACATGTTTTTTGCATGTGAGTAGCTTCTAGCGTTCTCAGGGGGAGCTCATTGAATCCTAAAACAAAGAGCAATACACTCCTGTGCCCGGCCAAATGAGGAAAGCAGCTGACCAGTCCAGTGGTAATGTTATCTCTGTCACACAGCAGGCCCTTATTCAAATATATAACTAAGGAAATATATCCTCCACTTAAAAAAGGGGAACAGAGCAGAGGAAAGTGAGACTGACAGAACCAGAAATCAGGAAGCAGAGATTTGCATGACAGTGAACATTATGTATAAGAAAATCTTTTGTTATGCAAAACACCAGGAAGACTGTTTGAAAGAATCATTGTCCAGCCCTTCATAGCCTGAATAATGCTTTGTTATGGTACTGTAGAGGCCTTTAGATTGAGCACCCTTGCTAAACATCCTGCAGGAGTTCAATTTAATTCAATGCACTACTATAGACTTTATATGTACTATATCTCCAGACCCCGAGGAACTGTTATTCAACATGCTGTAGCAATTTGCCTGTTAATGTAAAGGGGTGCTCCAGTGGAGCAATGCAACTTTACAACCTTACTGTGTTTCTCTGCTACTTAAACAGCAGATTTCACAGCACTGTAAAATGGGGGGGAAACTTTTTTCTTCCCATAAATGCCTTCCTAAACAAGGGGAATATCTTAAAGTAATGAGCAAGTGAGAACTAAGTCTGTTTTGTATATTAAAAATATATGTTTTTACATAGATGTAGGTATGAAGTAACATTAGTTGACTTCGTCTTCTTTCATTTGTTTGAAACTAACCTCTTGAACCCCACTGTTACGCCGCTCTGCTATTCATTACAAACTTCTTCTTTTTTCTGGAAAATATTGTTAAAACTTGCAGTAAGTAAGTGGAGATCCAACAGTTTCCAAAAGTACCAATGGGGTCTTGGGTTGAACATTTACTGAGTGTAAACATCCTTTAGCCTCAGTAAAAGAGTTGGTACAGAGTATACTGTATGTGGTAGTGTAAGTCAAGTTTGTAGGGCTGCAACTAACATTTACATTTTACTACTGTTTAATAGTTTGTCTATACAAACAATTTTCAAATGGCTTATTTTGTCTGACACACCATACAGCACCCACAGATATTCAGTTTACCATCATGTAAGGCAGAAAAGCAGCATATTGTCACATTTGAAAAGCAGGCGCCATCGGAACTATAACAAATGATCAATTAGTTGCCAATTATTAAATTAACTGTCAACTAATTTGACAATCGATTGATTGATTTGGGTGAATTCTTAAGAGAGAAAAGTTAAAATTGCTCCTCTTGGACAGTAAACTGGATGTCTTTGTAGACAAAACAAGATATGTAAAAAGATGTCATCTTGAGCTTTGGGAAACACTGATCAACATTTTTCACCATTTTCTGACATCTGACAGACCAAACAACTTAAGAAAAAGACTTTTTGAAAACTTGAGATCAAACTCAAGGCTATGGGGCCGATTGCACAAAACACCTTAGATTTTCTCCTTGAGTATGACACTTTAGGCTTAATTTCTTCTTAGCTGAAGGACTTATACAGTTGCACAGAATCTCTTTAAAGGTTTCCTTAGTTAAGGAAAAATTTTAACTCATTTACTGCATTGACAGATTTTACAGCGGTGAAAGTGTCCATGGAGATTGTTTGTTTGCTTGGACTCACACTTGCGATACCTGTTTTTATCTCACTAGATTGGCTTATACTTACAGTAGATGGTGAAAAAATGGCATAAGAAAAGAAGACAAGGAAACCATATTGGTCGGAGGAAGAAAGGATTATACTTCTGGAGGAATACGATCATAGAAAGCACAAACTACAACAACTGTAAGAAGAAAGAGCAACGAAAATAATTCAGGCAAATTTAAAGTGTAAAATTAAATGCAGGGTGTGTTGTTTTTTTCATTTATTACCATGAACTCGGACATATTGCAGTTAAGATAGAGTCAGGGGTACCTTAAGTTTTTTTGTTTGTTTGTTTGTTTTTTACCTTGCTTTGTTTGCTAAGGTCTTTTGTGCAACAGACTAGGAATCCCTTAAGTATAAGACCTAGACAGAGTCATCTCTGCCGACTGGTCATCAAATCAAATGTGTTGTTGTTGTTTTTTTCATTTATTACCATGAACTCGGTCATGTTGCAGTTAAGATAGAGTCAGAGGTACCTTAAGTTGTTTTTTTTTAATCTTGCTTTGTTTGCTAAGGTCTTTTGTGCAACGGACTAGGGATCCCTGAAGTACAAGACCAAGACAAGGAGAAAACCTTAAATATTTAAGTGAACATTTTAAGGAAAGCTGAAGGAGAAGACTTAAGGATGTTTTGTGCAACCAATTTTATTTTATGGAAACCTTAACTAGGACTTTAAGAATAATCTTAACTTAAGGTGTTTTATGCAACTGGTCCCTTATTTCTGTACTTAACTGCTTCATTGTTATAAAAACATTAAGCATAAATTCATCCTATAAAGGCAGTCACACATACAGAGACAGCAAAGGTGTTTTGACTCATTATCACAATTGACTTCTGAATATAAAACCCATTATCTTAATGGTTGTTGTGTGGCTGCTGTTAAGACAATTTAAACCTTAACTAGCTCCAGTGTTTTGTACATTACTCAGCAGCACCACACACACTTGCTGCACTTGAGATGCTTAGTCAGTCAACACTACTGACAGCCACAGTTGTCAGTGTCCACCATGTGCACCACAGCACTGTCTTCAGTTAGCTAACCAGCTAGCTTAATGCTGCTGTTATGACTTCGGTAAATGCTAAATAGTTAGGTTAAAAGAAAAGGCAAAAGCGTATTGCTGTGTATGTTTATGTGTAATTAGCAGCGAGCAGCAGCTTGTATCACAGCTAGCAACAACAGTTCAGAGACATAAAGGCAACTACAATAAAGTTAGCTCTCATAATGTCCATATTAATTACCGTTTAATTAGCTAGCAGAGTTAATTAATGTATGCTAACGTCAGAACTTACCTTGCGTTGAGAGGACGCACTCGAATGGCAACTTTAACGTTTGCCATGATGCCTTCACGGACACATCTTGTCTAACTCGCAGCTGGTGTAAAAGAATATTTCCCTTAGGAGCATTTTGACTTCTTCTTGTATTAAAACCTAAAGAACGGGAGGAAACTGCTCTGACATCCGCTGTTTAAGTCATCTCTGCCGGCTGGTCGTCGGTTCAACCGCCCGCCGCCTCTCAACCAAAGTCCCAACTGAAGAAGTGAAACTTCCTGCTGGACTCAAAGGGAGGGGAGATGCTGCTGGGTACTCCCCCTACTACGCCATATTCAAATCTTTTTCTTTTTTTGTTTCATGTATGTTATTGTTTGAATCCTCACTATTTTAAATATTAATGTGGGGAGTACACTTTATTTTGTGTATTGCTTTTTGATAAATTATCCCACATCTTTGGCTTTGTCATAACCTGAATTTGGCTGGCAGGGGCGTAAATACAGACAGTGTGGGCCTGTGGGGTGGAGGGGGCCGAAAAGAGAGCAGGCTTTGAAGAGGAAGGATTAAAAATTAATCTAAAGAAATCAAATGTTTGTTATACAGTTACTCATAATTACTTTTATTGCTTCCTTTTTTCTTTTTCTTTGGTAAAAAAAAGTCAGTTCATTCATACATTTTCCATAAACCCCTTATCCCTTTTGGGGTTGCGAGAGGGCTGGAGCCTATCCCAGCTGATATTGGAGAGGCAGGGTACGCCTTGGACAGGTCGCCATACTATCGCAGGGCTGGCACATAGACACAGACAACCATTCACACTCACATTCACACCTACGGACAATTTAGAGTCACCAATTAACCTGCATGTCTTTGGACTGTGGGAGGAAGCTGGAGTACCTGGAGAAAACCCACACTGATATGGGGAGAACATTTAAACTCCTCCACCCTGGGGTTCAAACCCCCCAGGTACGAACCAGGAACCTTCTTGCTGTGAGGCAACAATGCTAACCACTGCACCACCATGCTGCCAGAAAAAATGGTCAGTGGCAATCTATGACAATATTTATGCTTATTCTACACTTAATCTAACATAAAATCTATCAATTAACTATAATACCTATCCAATTAAATGGTTGAACGTAGGGATGCGTGATAATACCGGCACATCATCTGTACGAGGTAATATCGGCTTTAAAATGAACTGTCAGAATTGGCCAACACCTCTGCAATTTTATTTAACTTTTAATTTATTGAACTGAATTTAAAGAGGAAGACAGAGGGGGGGTGGATGTCGAGAAAGAGAGATTTTTTTAGAATTGTTTTATTCTTTTTTATTTATTTATTATTTTCTTATTTTTTTTATTTATTTTTCTGTCTCCCTTTTTCCTAATTTAAGCTTGCTTTATTTATTTGCACCTGTGACTCTTCCCCTTTCGCCTGTTCCTCTCGTTCTAACTCAGTTCCCCTTTTTGTTTTAAAACCTTCAACCTTATCAACACACAAAATGCCACCCAACACCGTCAACATACATTATACCAATATGCCTGTGTTTGTCTTTTGTGCTGTTATTTTACACCTGTCTTGTCTCCCACGTAGTGTTGCCCCTGTCATGTCTTCCACTTGTTTTGTACCTGCAACACCTCATTAAGAAAAAAAAAGAATTGGCCTACAAGCTCTTTCCTTATTTTGCACAATGAATGATTACATACATTAAAAATCATTGTATCTAATATCTCCATCTGCTGGCAGGTCATCATGATAAGAGCATGCATGTATGATATGATGTTGATTCCACTACAGAAGAGAATTCATGATCACTAGAATTAGGTGGGGAAAAAAGTGGATACATCGATTTCAGTATCGGTTATCAATCAAATGAGTTGTTACATATCGGCATATGGATATAGGCAAAAAAACTCCATTATCATGCATCCCTAGTTGAATGATTGGTGACCCTCCTCATATATATTTTATCTCCATATAACATGCATATAAGATGCTCTGTCTTCCTAGTGATTTAAAAGATTTACAGGTATATATATTTTTGAAAATGTCTCTTGTTATACATTAAAATTGTAAGAGAGTGGAAAGGGCTATCTCTGAGGTTCAAATTGTGAAAGCAGAAAGGAACATAGATGTTTCAAATGCAGTCTGAATGATAAAAATCCATGCAGCCACTGTGGAGACATCAATGTCAAAAGTCAAGAGAACAGTCTTGCCAACAAACTTTGGGGTGTAGGTTTCAAAGAGTATAACATCAGTAGGCTACAAGCTGTAAGGGAAAACATTGCTGAGAACATAAAATCCTTTGAAAGATCTTAATGAGTCATTTTATAAGGATATTGAGCTTGAGAGCACAGACAGTATACTCCCCCGTGATTTTATGTGATTTTCCTATCCATACTGAAATCACAAAATCTGTACTGCAACAATGACAACACACACGTTAACATTTAAAACCAGAATACATCTTTATTAATATTTTTGAGGTAACAAAAAATTATTTCATTTTAAAAAGCAGCAGGGAATACAGCGCTCGTTCAACATGAACTAAGAAACGAATCACAAACGCAATCTTGCATTCATGAAATAAACATGCGATAATCACTAGTAGTGGCGGTCAAAGGCAGTGTGTGAAAGTGCCGTACTAAAACAAATACATTTTATTTCCTCTGGTGAGTTTAAAAACCAACAAGAAAAAAAAAAGTTTTCAGTCATTTTTAGTAAAAAGTTTTTCTCGACAAACTATGGCTCGTCTTGTGGAATCCTACATGTAAAAATTGGGATGTTTTAATGAGTCGAGGTCTTTAGGGTCGATACAAGTCACTCAGTTTGAGTTTGATACTGACCCTTCTTCTGTCTTTGCCAATTCTCTGCTCTGGTCCTGACTGTTTGAAATGTTTCATCTAGTAGTATTTCCCTTCGGACACAAACATCTACCACGTCTGCTTGCAGGAAAGTTCAGCAGATCTAAAGGTGTGAGATGGTGTGGTCCCCTACCTACTTCTGACTGGCAGGGCTCTCTGGTTCTTTCCAGAGCAGACAGATTCATGAAAGGCTGCGGTCACTTCACAGGTGGAGAACAAAAGTGTGAAGCTTGCAAAGCCTGTGCAGAGGCCATCTGTGGAGCAGCTTTGATGCTCTGTGCAGTGGCAAAATCGAAAAATGGTCAACAACGAGAAGTCCCCCAGATCTATCTCCCTTCTGGATAACACACTGACAGATGTGACATAAAACACTGTGGTGATCACACAGAGGATTCAGCCGGATTGTAATACTATCGCTGTCATGTAGCACCCTCTACTGTCTGTTGTGAGACCTGCAGCATGTCCATGCGGCTCTGCAACTCAGCCAGAGGCAAGGGGGGCTTAATACTCTGTGACTGCAGCTGGAAATTCTCTATCAGCTCCTGAAATGACACGGAAATGAGAACAAAGTGAGCAAGAGGAAAGAATCAAAGGGGTCAAATCGCTGGTAAAAGAAATCATTTCCAAGTTATTCATGATGACAAGGACGCAGTGAACCCTCACCGCCGGCAAGGCCAAGTTTGTTAGCTTCTTCCAATGAGATATGACCTCTTCCTCGCTCAGGACTCCTCTGTCGACCAGCTTCCTAACCAGGAACAGGTAGTTGTTCCACTAAAAAGACAAGAGAAGGTATTACAAAAGGTTAAAGAGAACAGAGTCACCTCTCATGTTGGATATCTATTTCAGATTCTCAGTGCAGCAGGCAGGAAAGCCATTAGTACACCATGGCTAAAACCAGAAATACCTACAGGTGATCATTAGATTGACATTATTGATAATATATTACAATGGAAAGAATTACTTCCTCTATCAGACTGAAACAGGACAAGTTTTTGAAAAGACAGAAAAGTTGTGATTGTGTACATTACACCTGTACGACCATCATTTGGTCAGTGTCAAAGATTCTTACCCTTCTTTGTACAGCTAAGAAGCACTATAAGAATGAATACATTGTATGGACCTTGATATAACTCAATAAAAAGAGGACATCGCACCCCACCCCTGAGACTTAACAACACTCAAAGAAAATAACAGTCACAAAAAGGTTAATTTTGAACAAAAAATGGCATCAAACATCTGTTTTCGGGGAACTCAGGCTACACAGAGCTGAGCAGAAAGCAGCCTGATGGTTTCCTTACCAGCAGATATCAAAACGTCAAATAAATACTCATTAAAGTGTCCAGGTTGGATGTCAGCTTTTCCTAAAATAGAAGTATTAAATAAGAAAGGTATTTTTATGTTAAAATACCTTCCAGTATTTTGTGCACCTCAGACCAAAGCTGACTTATTACAGTGCACTCACAAAATATATGCCAGTGATTTGCATCCTGGCTTCAGCACAATCTCCATCACTTGGGAGCCTCTCCTGTAGCATGTGCTTTCTGCTTTGGGTACTAAACAGATATATGAATTAGTGCACCTCCATTGAAAGCTGTAATAACGACACCATTCCTCCCTTAAAATCTCAGATTTACCCTAATTTCCCCATTTATTTTTGAAAGTATTCTGTGGAATGGGATTTCTTTGGCATAAAACCATTATATCGTCACTTGCGGTTCATTACGAATGGACCCACGACCCATTTTTGGACCACAACCCACCAGTTGGAAATGACTAATCTAAGGCATACCCTACTTTATCATCTATTTTACTTTAAATGGGACGATGGTGTACAAAATGAACATCATGGTGTATTGAAGAAGACTTGAAACTAGCAATTGAGACCGTAAACACATTAGGAAAATGTTTACTCAAGTGAGAAGTTGAGTCATTTTCTCAGACCTCTATACAATTGAATGTCTCTTTGAACTTGGTGGAGTCGCCCCCTGCTGGCCATTAGAAAGCATGCAGTCTATGGTTTTAAATCAGTAAAAACACTAGCACACCTGTTGCTTTTAATCCTTGATCAGTAATAGTAAAAGTATGTGGTGAGGTATTTGAGGGGAACATCCTATAAACAGGTAAAGGCAGAAGTATTTTCAGCAGCATCAAAAGTACCTCAGTGTCGCTGGCCTTCAGCACAGCAGTGACCGTGAGCGGGGTGAAGAGCAGGTGGAGGGGGGCGAAGGAGCAGCAGTCTTCTTCCCACAGCTCAGCAAGCTGCTCCAGCAGTGCTCTGACAGGAGCCTCTGATCCTGAACCAGGACCCACAACAACCCCATCACCCTTGCTGCCCTGTGACTGAGACGGCACCGGCAGCTCTGCTGACACTGAGCAGAGACACACAACAGCCACTTAGACACTCTCTCACACAGTACATCAACTGGATTTTATGTTGCTATTAAGCAGTTTACAGTTAAACAATGAACACACTGTGTTTCATAAAGACATAGTTTCCCTGTAATTATGATTCACAGACCCTCTTACCCAGTTTGCAGGCCAGTAGGACAGTAGTGTTCAGTAGCATCTGCTCTGACACCCCAGATGAGAACTAGGTGAAGAAACAGGAGACGGAGTGTGATGAATACTGGCAACAATTGGTTAATTTACTACATGTTTTTTCTTGCATTTGTGTACCTTTCTGCAGGCTAGTGTGTCGCACACTCTCTGCAGCAGCGTTCGGATCTGATTGGCATTCAGCAGCTCCTCGTCAGTCCTTGGGCCGACTGCTATGCTCAGCAACTCCTTTATTAAGAATCAAATTAAAGCAGAAGTTCAGACAGACATCAGTCACTTTTACTTCAGTGAGAAGTAAGGTTAATTATCTTATATTTCATTTCTGCAGTGTCATGACAAAGGAAAATTCGATGGGTATTTTTGCAGAATAACTCAACAGTGAAGTTCTGTGGAAGTGCCTCAACATGTTTTTGCAGAAGCTACATTTCCTCTCATGCCGGCGTACCTTCATCTCAATGAGGATGTCAGAGGGCAGTGAAGCGCTGTGGTTGCAGTGTGGAGGGCAGGATGTCACTCTCTCGCTCCCCTGTTTCCTCTTGGGAGTCGTCGCCTGCTCCTGGGAGACCAGCTCCACCACAGCGCCCTCCGCGTTCCTCGAGTCTGGAGTCGCCGGGCTGCCCGCCGCCTTCATCACGCGATCATACCGGTTCTTCCACTCTCGTCTTATCAGGGCTGATAAGAAAACAGAAGGAAAATCTTACATGGGTGTCTTTAGGGAACCTTAAATCGGAGCACTGGTTTCTTTTTTTCTTTTTCATCCACAATGGCAGTGATGTTCTGTAACAGGATCCCAGCAGCACCAAGAGGTTTAAGGTTCAGTGCTTTAAAGGATTCATAGCAGGGTTTTTATTGTTTTAGTGTGTATGCTACATACAGTATCATGCTTTTTTCCATGCCTCCATGAAAGCCAGTAGCTGCCATCCATTATGACATGAAAATCAACTTGTAGCAACATTAAAAATGGATTCCACTGATCCAATACACCCGATTGTTTTTGGCCCGAATACTGACCTTATTATGCAGATCAGGTAGTATCCATGACATAACCAACTCACATTTTTGAGTGAAGAAATTAAATGTGTGAAAAAAAGAACACTGGTATAGAATCACAGCTTGGTTTTAGGATCCTACATGTCAGAATTAAACAGAGGTGTTACATCCAGACTTTATAATGGTTTTATGTCAAAGAAATCCCATTCCACAAAGTACCTTAAAAATAAATGGGGAAATTAGGGTAATTTTTAGATTTAAGGGAGGAGTGATATAGTTATTAGAGCTTTCAATGGAAGTGCACTAATCTATCTATATGGAGAGAATTGGTACTTTAGTACCCAAAGCAGAAAGCACAAGCTCTCAAGTGCTGGAGATTGTGCTGAAGCCAGGATGCAAATCACTGGCATATATTTTGGGAGCACCCTGTAATAAGACAGTTTTGGTCTGAGGTGCACAAAATACTGGAAGGCATCTTCAACGTAAAAATACCTTCCCTATTTAACGCCTTTATTTTAGGAAACACTGACTTTCAACCTGGACACTTTAGCAAGTTTTTATTGGACGTTTTGCTATCTGTTGGTAAGAAAATCGTAAGACATTGCCTGCCTTCTGAGTGCCTGGTCTCCTAACCAACTTAAAAAATAATGTACTAGAATGTCTCCCAATTTGATAATGTTTATGCTTGTTACACATCCCTTTTTCACAATGTAAAATAGTTAAAAAAAAACTTTATGGGGTACACAGTGTTGAAAATAGGATAATGAGAAAAGAAGGTCTTAAGTCACACTGTTTAACGAGATTTATTTTTCAAAAGATAATTTTTTCAGGCTTTTGCCTTTAATTGACAAGAGAGAGTGAAATGGGGGAGTGAGCGAGAGTGGGGGGATGACATGCAGCAAATGGTTGTGAGACGGAGTCGAACCCGCGATCGCTGCAGCAAGGCATCACCTCCGTATATGGGGCGCCGGCCCTATCCACAACGCTACCAACACCCGTCACAAATTCCTTTTAATGCCACTAATTTTTTGATGCACAATCAACGCACATACGCTTTGTAATTATGATAATCCCGTAGTTTGGGAAATCAGGAAGCGATGCAGCAGTAACATTGTGGATGGCAAGCAAAGACAAACCTGTGTGAGCGGAAAAGGAAAAAGAAAGGCATCTTTTCAAAGGCAAGTTCAGCTTCAGAGCCTGGTAAGATGATTCTCTACAAAGTTATTTGCGTTTACTGTCGGTGTGAATCAATGTGTACATTTAGAACAGATAAAAAATGTGTGATTAATTTGCGATTAGTCACGAGTTAACTATAGACAATTATGTGATTAATTGCAATTAAATGTTTTAATCAATTGACAGCCCTAATATACATACACACCGATCAGCCAAAACATTAAACTGTTGGCTGGTCAAGTGAATAACATTGATCATCTCGTTACAGTGCAATGTGCTGCTGGGAAACCTTGGGTCCTGGCATTTATGTGGATGCCACTTGACATGCACCACCCACTCAAACACAGCTGCACACCAAGTATTGCCTCTCATGGGAAAGACCCTCTCCAATGGCAGCTCTACCATGTCAAGGCATGAACACAGAACCTCTGGGGGTGTCCTGTGGTGTCTGGCACCAGGGCGCTGACAGCAGATCCTTTGAGACCTGTCAGTTGTGAGGTGAGGTACTGGCAGGTCCCACAAATGCTCCATCAGATTGGGATCTGGGGAATTTAGAGGCCAGGTCTTGAGCTCATCGTCACGTTCCTCGGGTCGTTCCTGAGCAGTTTTTGTGGTGTGGCATGGTGACTTTTCTTGGTAGGCGTAGTGCTGTTGCCATGAGGGGGGTGTACTTGGTATGTTACAATGTTTGGGTGGGTGGTGCATGTCAAATGGCATCTACATGAATGCCAGGACCTGAGGTTTCACAGCAGAATGTTGCACCGTAAAAAGATGATCAATGTTATTCACTTCTCCTGTCAGTGGTTTTAATGTGTAACCATGTAACTGGTTGTCTGCTTGCAATTAACACTTTAATAATAAGGGGAAAAAAAAGAAGCACTGCTTGGTATCAGCAGACATCCTGTGGTATTTGAATCCAGACCAATCCCAAAAAATGGATCAGTACTTCCCTGCATTTAACTGTAAACTGACTTGTTTTTAACACAGTTAAACACATGCGTGGTGCATTAAGCAGCTACCTGTGATGTTGGCGGAGAGCCAGCTGCATGCCTTCTCTGTTGCAAGACGTTTGGTGATGTTTTCAGACGTGGTCAGTACCTGTAGAGAGTAAGTACAAGAAATGGGAACAACAGATACACACATACAAGATTCAAGTATTGATAAGAAAAATAAGGATTTACAGACTTGGTTTGACACAGATTACTTTACAGGGGAAACTCGTCATATCATGTTTTTAGAGGACTTACAGCAGGAGAGGTCTCGTCTGGGAGCAGGATTCGTATGGCCTCAGGACTCTTTTCAGAGCAAAATCTGCAAAACCACAAAGAGATCACCACAAAGAAATAAAAGCTAACAATGTGTGACGAGGAACCCAGAAAGTAAAACATCTTTTTCCAACAATCAAATGGCAATTCACTCACACAGGCATACAACAAGTTAACATACTACAGTTTGCCTGTAAAGAAGCTGTCGTACCTGGTGGCTCTTCCCAGGGCCTCCAATCCTGCGACACACAGCTGAGCACAGATGGTGTCATTCAGAGTTGAAGAATTTGAGTTTGGTGACTTCAGTCCATCTTGTAGCATCTTCTCACCTCGCTCCACCAGCTCACTCACTAATGTGGCCCTGTTGAGGATCCCCAAATACACATGAATACACACACGTATATCTACACAGGCTGGTGAATTCACACCAGTCACAACCTAGGTGCTGGCAAATCGGTTGATACTAACTTCATGTGCTTGACAGCGTTGGATCCAACTCTTTCAGCTACAAACTCCACGGTGCGACGCAGCGATGGAGGCTGGTTGTGGAAGAAGGCTTGCTCGAGGTCCACCTGTCACATGAAAGTGAATGACTTTAATACTCGCACACACAGAAACACTTCAGTTTTGTCATTCTACATTTCACTCCACTGCCTCCCCCGCTGACTCACCTGTAGTTTCTGCTGCGACCTGTTGGCGCTTGGCGTATCCTTAAGCTCAGCAGAAGTGGGGGTGATCTTGCGGATAATTCCTCCACTCTTGGCTGCGCTTCCCGACACAAAGGCAGCGAGGAGCTTACGGAACTCACCTGGAGCGAGAACAATGAGGCAGAACATCAACACACAGCTTAATGAAGTGCAGCTGCTTTGTGGTGAACAAATATGCGTATAGATCAATGTTATTTTAGCTATCCAGTTCTAATTAAAAGCCTTTTACCTCTTTGATTACACAACAAAATATACATGTAAAAATAAAAAAGTCAACAATGGTAAATTGTATTTTTATTTTATTTATTTTCTATTTATTTATTTATTTTGATTTATAATTGATTGGGTTTTACTTAGATTTTTGTATCACTATTATCATCTCTCATCTGTATTTTATTTTATTTTCATCTTTATTATTTATATTACTTTATTTATTTTTAGTATTTTTGAATGTACTTTTATTTAAATAGTCTTTTTTATTTTTTTTACTTTATTTTTTTAATTTTACTGTGTTTTATTTCATTTGTATCCTTATTAATTTCAATTTTTCATTTTTTGTATTAGTATGTTGATATTTATTATTTTTTTTATCAAGTCTTTTTTCACTTAAATTCTGATTATCTTCATCTTTTTTAACTTAAATTTTTATCTTTATTACAACCTGTTTTATTTGTATCTTTTACTCATTTCAATATTTTTTGCCTCTTTTACTATATCTGTTTTATTTCATTTTTCTCATTTATATCTATATATATTTTTGTATTATTATTATTATCATTATCATTATTATTAATAATAATAATAATACATTTTATTTGGAGGCGCCTTTCAAGTCACCCAAGGTCACCTTACAGAGCATTAGTATGTTCAGATTAATTTATATTATTATTTTTAATCAACTTTTTTCTTACCTTAAATGTTTATTGTCTTTATTTAAACCTGTTTTATTTTAATCTCTTTATTCGTTTTAATCTTTCTTGCCACTATTAACCTATCCTTATTAATATATATTTTGTATTCAGTTTTCTATTTTTCAATAAAAAAAATCTGTAGTATTTTATTATTATAGTTACAATTACTGTTGTTTTAAATAAGACTTTTTTCAGCGTAAGTTTTTCTTATCACAATAAGTATCTCTCTATGTCTCCATCAATGTATGAAGATATCAAAAAATAAATAAATAAAAATCAAAAATGTGCCCTTAATGCCTGAGGGGACATGTAAGATGTCTTTCCATGTTCCACTCACCAAGAAATGGACAACATGTATAGAGCAGCTGCTGATCCACCAGGAGGATGCAGTCCTACAATATAAAAAGAGAAACCTCAGCATACATGAAAAACCAGCAGTGGTCATTTTTCACACAAACAGCTACTTATATGCATATTTCACTTACAAGCCCCGCAGCAGTCGTGACGCCGTCCTCCAGCTTCGCTACCTCAGTGAATTCGCTGGTGAAGAAAATGTCCTCAGGAATCACTGGGATCTACAGAAGTCAAAAAACACCAAGTTCAGTTACACAGAACTGTTGTGTAAAAATGAATATGACTTTCAGACAAACACAAAAGTGAGCTCTGCAACGATTCATGTTCTACTAATCACGTCACATTATACAAAAACAAATAATATCCACAAGTTGAGTCTCACCTGGAAAAGCCAGCCCAACACTGACACCATCAGCAGCTTGTTCAGGTAACACACTTCTTCACACCTGCCCAGCAGCATCCTCCTGCATGCATAAAATATATTTAACAAAAAGGACAACAAGAGGTCAAACATCACAAAAAGAAAGACAGGAGCGTTTGTATGTATCAGGTTCTTAAGACATGTTCCTGATTTTTATGAGCTTTAGATATGTTTTCAAGTTAAATAATTTCAGTGTGCAAAAATATTTAACCTTAAATACACATTTTTACATTTTAAGGGGAAAAAACTCTATTCAAGAGAAGACCATGTATAGAAAATTATCAGTATGAGGGTTGCAGTGGTATGGGATTTTCAAGGTATGATAACCATCTCAGGAAATTTCACTGTTTTGCCATATTACACAATTATAATCATCAGTTTAATGACCCTTAAAGGACTGAAAACAAAAGATTTTTTGGCTGAACATACACTTTTCTTTAGTGGAAGTATGTGTAAAAAGTCTGACAGCCAAGGAGGAAAGGAAATGCGCATATGCAGGTGAGATTCTCTATACTGTTCCATTTTTTTCCATATCGTACATACGCAAATAAACATGTTATGATAGCCAGTGATTTTCATACCCAGTATACTGCTGCAACCATAATCAGTACAGTATCAGCGGAGTTCTGTTGGTACCACAGAAGTATGTTTATTTTACACCAAACAATGGCTGACCGTTCTCAGACAAATGTTTACAGTATAAATGTGCAGAAATGGAGACAGACCTGTACAGGAGTAGCAGTGTGCCCAGTGCAGTCCTGTAGCAGGTCAGCAGAGGACCAATAAAGTCCAGCATGGAGAGGAACTCCACCAGCCAGGGCACTGTCAGGATGGTGCGCCTCCTCTTCATACTTTTACTCAGCACAGCGCACACGTCCAGCACTGGAACACTCTGACAGACCAAGACATTGTTTTAATTAAACTAAATGCCCGGCAGTAAACATTTATTTATTTTTCTGGACCACTGATGGTTTTGACTGAAGAGAGGAACATTTTAGAGTTTTACCTGCTGTGTTTTAAGCAGGCCACACAAGTTAGTTTATAAACTTTTTTCTTCTCCTCACCTTGCTGCGCAGGGCGAGAGCAGTCTCCTGTATCTCCCTGGACGGTCTCTCAGATGTTTGGTAAGGCAGAAAGGAAATGAAGCCCAGAAACTTAGCCAGAAGACGCGCAAGGAGGAGCACAGAGGTGAATCGCTGCTTCTCATCCTGATGAGGTAGATGGAACACAGAGACAAGGGTTTGTATTTAATAAATACCAGTGTTTCCATCAGATTTGTCTTCTCTGAAGCTGACATCTACGTGACGTTAAGAACAATCCAGGCTGAAATCTTTTGCATGCCGAAAAAGAATAACTGGTTGTAAAACTAGCTTGATGCAGACTGACAGGGCACTTGAATCTGTGACACTGACATTTCAATAACAGGAATTTGTCTGACTCTGAAAGCATACCTGCTGCTCCATGTCACCGTCTCCCTCCTCCTCGGCCTCCCCGATGGAGGCGGGAGGGCTCTGGATGGACACCTCATCCAGCTGGAGGAGCTGCTGACACAGGCTGTCCTGCAAGTGCTGGTTCAGCTGACAGCTGGTACACAGCATGTGAGATGTGTTAGATCACAGACAGACAGCAGACACTAAAAGCTTTTGGGAAGTTGTCGAGGAAAATGTTTAATTTGGTTCAAAAAGGACATCTACCGAATGAAAAATACGCTCAGAAAGGAAAATTACTGCTGTTATTAAAAGGACATAATGAGTTATTATCAATTGGGATAACTTCAGAGCTACATAAGCCAGTTAAGGTGTAAAGTATCTTGTGGTTTTTGCTTACCAGCTCGCTGTCTGCAGGAAATCCCTGAAGAACTCCTGGTGACCAGGGAAGGATGGAGGAGGGCAGGGGCCGACAACTCCATGAGGCTGAATGAGACGCTCCTCAAGGCGCTTCAGACGCCCCAGGCTGTCGGCTCCTAGCATGCCTAGCAGGTCCGCATCGGGAGTGTCCCCAGGAGAGCTGTTCACACGGGGGCCTTTACACATCTGGGAAAAAATGTAAGGGGTTTTGTGTCAACTGTGTTTTATAGGCAACACCAGGCCCCTAATGTCCAGGGCTGGTACCTGCAGTTATCGTACAAGGTAGTTAATAACATGTCGGGCAGGAAATCCAAAGTGTGGGATCATTTTGAGAAGGTGAAGGACGAACCCAAGGTGATATGTAAACTCATCTTCATTGGTCGACTACAAACATGACGTATCATCTGAAACATGGAAGTAGCTACATGCCCATTAGCCGACAGCATCATTAACAGGCGGCTCGCTCAGTGTGTGACGTGCACTTGTAGATAAAATATAGGCCTATATTAATGAAGGTTCATTAGTACGGTTTTGTATTTCTCTGTAATGTATTGTAAACATGTGGGCGACTAGCCGACTAATGGCTCTAAGTGACGACTGTTGGTTCTTAGTCGGGGGCAGCCCTACTTCTATTTAAAGGAGAAATGTTATCACTGCAGACGAAGGTCCATTTGACATAAATATAACTCTGTACTGAAGGTGTGATTGATGTGCCACAGTTTACCTGAACAAGCTGTTTCAGGAACAGACGAGCAAAATGGGAATGGTTTCCTGCAGAGGTCAGCTGACTCATCATTCCTCTAAAAAAGAAGATGGAACAATGAAACTCACAGAGAGCAAAAGCAGATCAGATAGGTGGATGGAATTATACCTGAACCATAAACTAAAAACATTAAAACGTTAATTGGACTTGCCTTATCCTACTGCCGAGAGCAGCATCAAAGCTCCACCCCTGCTCTTTGTGAAAGTCCTCCCATTCTCGTAACACCTCATAAAAAATATCCCTGAGAAAAGAGCAAAAACATCAACACAAACATGGTGATAAAGTCTAATTCAGCAGTTCTCTTTCATAGCATTCGTTTCGTGTCTCACATTGGGAACGCCCTCGGCGTGACCTCGTCAGAAGCTCCTTTTACATTACGCCAGCCAGGATTGGCTGGAACTAAGCACGTCAGTGTCAGGATGGGTGGAGACCCTCCCCCTATAAAGGGGCCTGACACTGCGCTGCACGTCATTCAAAAACCTCTTCTCACTACGAGCAGAAGTTCCAAACTCTCTCGAGCTGACTGTTTCTCCATAACCTAGCTTAACTGTCCACAGACACGAGCGAAAACTCGGTCACCGGGCGCTTTGTTCACGAGGCAGTTATCCGAGAGCTATCGCTATCTGTGGAAAGTAGCAATACTTCGACAGCTAGCATAACCGAGTGGCAACACTCAACCCTACGGTAGCAATACCACACAAGTAGCAATACTTAATCACACTAGTGCTAGCCTCACCTGGCTAACGCACAACGGAGTCGCAACACTCACGCTGTATTTCATCCGGTGCCCGCTTCTCCTAAACACAACAGGCTAGCAGTTGCATACCATACAGCATAGCTTCACAGCTAACAAATCCCGCTAGCTTCACAGCTAATAAATCCCACTAGCTTCACAGCTGACAAACCCTGCTAGTGACCATGGCTAACGCCAATGCTTCCACTAAAGCAGAGGAGAAAACGCAGGTGCGAGCCTGCCCTTGCGGGAATAAGATTTCGAGCGGAGATACTCACCCGATGTGTGTGATGTGTCTCGGCCTGAAACGTGCCCAAGCCGCCTTTGAGTCCACGGAAGAATGCGCACACTGTGAACTATTCTCCCTCAAAGTGCTCCGTCGCCGCCTGGCTCGTCAGACGAATCTGTCCGGCAGCGACCCGGTCTTGGCTTCCACATCCGAGGCTTCGGAGCTAATGGATATGGCTGTGGCAACAGCTCCAGAGCCCGAAGCTGGTCCGAGCTGGGGCAGCCAGCTCAGCCTCACCGGCCCATTTTCCCAGGAATTAGACGGACCCGGCCGATTTTCTGGTGGAGAGGGCAGAGGATGACTCGGATGGTGGGTCGGAACTCCTCATGACTGTCGAGGATGACGACAATGATTCTTCACTGGGACTGTCAGGCCGGGTTGCAAAACTCCAACCCTCAACAACAGCTGTGGCGGGAGACGGCTCGTCTTCCCCCGCTGTGGATTTGGACTTGCAGGACGTGTGCAAACGTGCCGCTGCCAAGCTCAACATCCAGTGGCCCAAAGTCCAAGCTGAGGTGAAGCGGTCCAGCTACAACAGGAAAAAGTTGCCAAAAGTGAAGAGAACAGGGAAACAACTCCTGCCTATCTTCCCAGAGTTGCTGGAAGAACTTGCTGTCTCCTGGCGCGACAAGCCATACAGAGAGAAGCATCCTGTGGCGGGCAGTTCCATGCTTGACTGCGAGGGGATGGAGAGCCACGGTCTCTGCAACATCCCTCCAGTGGAGCCCGTGGTGGCGGCTCACCTCCACCCGAAAGCATCCCTGTCATCACTGGGGCCTGCACTCCCATCCAGAGCGGATCGTTTCCAGTCCAGCCTGACAGACAAGGCGTACAAGGCGGCTGCACTGTCGGCGCAAGCCCTGAACGCCACCTCCCTTCTGATGGCGTATCAAGTCGAGCTGGAGGAGGAGATGACGGCTTCACCTCACCCCGTGTTGTGGGAGGAAGTGTGTGTGATCACTGACCACTGCCTTCACCTCCACAAGGTGGCCATCCAGTCACAGGGCAGAGCCATGGGGTTGATGGTGCTACAGGAGAGCCCACTGGCTTAATCTCACCACGCTGTCAGCCAAGGAGAAGGAAGATCTCCTCGACACCCCCATATCACCCAAGGGCCTCTTCGGCGCGGCGGTCACGTCCATGCAAAAGAGGCGCGAGGAGAGAAAGAGGGAAGACGAAGCCCTGAAGCTGTGTCTGCCGAGAAGGGCACCCACTGCCACCCTCCCGGCTCACCGTCAAACTAGGGCTGCACGGTATATGCGGTAGACGGTAGAAATGATATAAATTTGGCCCACGGTAGAGATTTGCGCTCTACCGTCCTATCGTCGATGATGTCATCGCACCTGCCTCAGTGTGAAAATGGCTGCGAGCACAGAGACAGCGGAGCAAGAGGAGCTGGTTCACGTCCGTGATCTAGCATAGCACGTGCAACATGTGTTGCTGGAGAACTTGTGAGTGAGTGAGTTAATGTCTTATGAACAGCGCCGGACTTCTCAGACTCTTTTAGCGACTTACCGCTCAGAGGGAACTCATTCAGTGTCTCCTCTGGCAGCAGCACAGCGTCTCTCCCTCTCCTCTCTCGCCGTGCGCACACGGGAGTTGGTTTTCGGCAAAAGAGTTTGTCATAAACCTTTGGTAATGTAAACCTATGTGACGCTAGGGGCTCCACAAAAAAACTCCATATGTGAATGTGTGATAGTTGTGGTATCATAACAGCCTGTCACAGGTTACAGCGTGATGATTAGAGGAGAAATGGCAGAGCATAAAGGTCCAGGTGGAAAAAACACAACTCAGTCATTTAGGATTTTGCTAAAAGAAGGAAATTACCTTTTGATATAGATCCCAGGGGACATTTTGCACCATAAAGTACTGGGTTTTAATTTTGAGTTTTGAGATCTGCATTCTGCACAATAAATGCTCTAAAAAATACATTATATCTTTGCTTTTGTTGTTTTTTTTTATCAATTTAGCTTTGCTAAGGGACTACAAAACCCATTCAGAAACACTTCTATTATAACTTTTACACTTAAATTTATACCGCGATATATACCGTTACCGTGAAGGGATTCGATTTATACCGTGATATGAATTTTAGGTCATACCGCCCAGCCCTATGTCAAACCTTTGCCCAGGCTGTGGCACGGCCTCCTCCCACCTTCAAAATCCCCAAGTTGCTCCAAAGGGTCCGTGGCAGAAGAAGTCTTCATCCCAAGAGGGGACTCTGCCCGACCGGCCACCCCCCACCTTTACCCACGGGGTAAGGAGGAGGAAACGGCAGGCCTGATAGTTCCAGATGCGGCCAGCGAGACAGCCCTGTTCCCCCGGTGGCGCTTGCCCCAGCAGCTCCGTTCACGAGCATCGCCACAGAGCCCAGTTCTGTTCAGCGCATGGACAGCGGGATGTTCGGCCCGGCCCAGCGCCCTGTGAAGAGAAGCAGAGACAGTGTGCAGCAGGTGGAAACCCTCTGCGGGTCCCAAACATGTCTCACAAGCACTTCTCATTGTTGCAAAACACTAAAATTGTCCCAACTGTCGCATCCAGGTCGAGTGCCGAGGGCGCAGTTAAAAACAATGAAAAACAAAATAAATCCATTGTTGAAAAACAGTTTGGTCACACATTTTACGGAGGGAGGGAGTGATCCCTCTCTCAATAAACAACCGTGCGGTGAACGGCGCGGCTCTTACTCCGTGTGACAGACGAGCCTGTCAGCCCGCTGACACTGAGAGCAGAGAGCTGGTCAAAATGCACAGACTCAGAGTGGGTTTTGAGAACATTAAACAGAGGATACAGGCTGCAGTTTGCCGTAACGCCTCCACAATTCAGGGGAATAACCCAGTCTCAAGCCCTAGGCGAAGCCACTCTCTTCCTAAGAGAGGAGATTTCCTCCCTGCTAGAGAACAGAGCAATAAGAATAATTCCTCCCAAACACACTCGGAGCGGGTTTTATTCAAGATATTTCCTGGTCGCCAAGAAGGGGGGGCGCGGCATGCGTGCGATTTTAGATCTCAGAGATCTAAACAAGCACCTCAGGAAATAAAAGTTCAGGATGTTAACGCACGCGTCCCTGCTGCGTTTTCTGCGTCCGGGCGATTGGTTCACTTCAATCGATCTCAAGGATGCATATTTTCACATCCCAATATACCCACCTCACAGGAAATATCTCAGATTTTCCTTTCAGGGGACATGCTACGAGTATCTAGTTCTCCCCTTTGGTCTCTCATTAAGCCCGAGAGTATTTGTGAAATGCACAGAGGCAGCTGTGGGACAACTCAGGATCCGAGTAGCCACGTACATCGACAACTGGCTTATTGCGGCATCTTCCCGCCAGGAGGCAGCAGATCACACAAGGTTACTCACAGAACACCTGGTGGATCTGGGTTTCAAAATAAATCTGGAAAAGAGTGTTCTTCTGCCTTCTCAGAACATCTCCTTTATAGGCCTGTTTATAGACTCAGCTCAGGCCAGAGTCAGGCTGACTGGAGAAAGAATGCAGGCACTCAGAGACTGTTTAGCCCTTTTTCACAGGGGGAAGTTTGTGTCTCTCAGGCTTTGCCAAAGGTTGTTAGGGCTGATGGCATCATCCCTGGTGGCGGTACCCATGGGACGCTTGCACATGAAAGGAGTGCAGCGCTGGGTGGCCTCACACAGGTTAGACCCACACCATCATGGCTCTCACAGGGTGAGTCTTGGTGAACTGTACAGCAGCACTGGCCACTTGGAAAAGCGCAGGCTTCTTGACCCAGGGAGTGCCTATGGGGGTTGTTCAGTGCAGAAAAGTGGTCACAACAGATGCCTCTCTGTCAGGCTGGGGAGGCGTGTTCAAAGGGAGAGCAATAAACGGGACCTGGGATCCTCACATGCGCTCATCCCACATAAATTACTTAGAACTGCTGGCTGTTCACCTGTCACTGAAACACTTCCTCCCTCTTCTGAGGGGACATCATGTGTTAGTCCAGATGGACAACACCACGGTGGTGGCATATATCAACAGGCAGGGGGGCCTGAGATCCCTTCAGTTACACACAATGGCACACAGACTGATAGTCTGGTGCAGCAGACATTTTCTGTCCCTGAAAGCCACCCATGTGCCGGGGACACTGAACCATGGAGCAGATCTGCTGTCCAGGGGAAACCCTCTTTACGCAGAATGGAGACTTCACCCAGACGTAGTGAGTCTGGTTTGGGAGCGTTACGGCCAGCCAGCCGTGGACCTCTTTGCAACACAGGAGAACACCCAGTGTCCTCTGTTTTTCTCACTGCGCGATCAGAGTGCACCACTGGGGGTGGACGCACTGGCTTATCAGTGGCCTCGGGTTCTCTTGTATGCATTCCCCCCGATAGCATTGATTTCCTCGACCCTAGTCAGGGTGAGGGAGGAGGGTCTGTCGATGATTCTCATAGCTCCCTACTGGCCAACGAAGCACTGGTTAGCGGAGATAACACAGCTCCTCCAGGGGGAGCCATGGCCCTTGCCAATACGCAGGGATCTGCTGTCGCAGGGGCGCGGGGAAATATTTCATCCCCACCCAGAGAGGCTGGCCCTGTGGGCTTGGCCCGTGAATGGCTCAATCTACAGTCTGGAGGCCTTCCCCCAGGCGTGATTGAGACTATTCAGAGTGCTAGGGCTCCCTCAACGAGGTCCCTTTATGAGAGCAAATGGTCGATTTTTGAGAAATGGTGCTCAAACACACAAGAAATTCCCTTTCAATGTTCTGTAGTGGTGATCTTGGCTTTCCTACAGGACATGGTGGACAAAAGGATGGCCTTTTCCACCATTAAGGTGTATTTGGCGGCCATTTCGGCCTGCCATATCGGCTTTGGGGGGAAAACTGTGGGACAGCATCCCCTGGTCTGCCGCTTTATGGAAGGGTGCACGTCGCAAGCTTCCTGTTTCTAAACCATTAGCACCGTCCTGGGACCTCCCCATGGTGCTGGATGCCCTTTCAGCCCCACCTTTTGAACCACTAGATCAGGTGGACTTGAAAATGGTGGCTTTAAAGACAGTGTTATTACTGTCTCTGGCCTCAGCTAAACGCGTGGGTGAGATTCACGCTCTTTCAGTACATCAAGAATGTACAAAGTTCTCTGCAGGAAATACAAGGGTGACCTTACAGCCTAACCCAGTGTTTATGCCTAAGGTGTTGGGGTCATGTTCCCCTATTGACCTTGTATCCTTCTATCCCCCGCCTTTCTCCTCAGATGAGCATCGGCGGCTACACATGCTGTGCCCGGTGCGGGCCTTACGCATCTACATGGACAGAACTGAAGGCTGTAGAAAAAGTGACCAGCTTTTTGTGTCTTGGGCAAAGAATCAGGTGGGGAAGCCAGTCTCTAAGCAGCGGCTTTCTCAGTGGATTGTAGGGCTATTGCTTTAGCTTATAGCGCCAAAGGGGTGCAAGCACCAGAGGGTCTGCGTGCTCACTCTACCAGGGGTCTCTCCACGTCCTGGGCCCTTTTCAGAGGGGTCCCCATTCAGGAAATTTGTGCCGCAGCAAGCTGGGCCTCTCCACACACCTTCGCCAGGTTCTACAGGCTTGATGTCACAGCCTCTTCTCTGGCCCATTCAGTGCTTGGTTTGGCCAAGCCCTAGTGTGGCTTATTTCAGGGCGGTTAGTCTTGACACTCTGACAACATCTGCCCAGCAATCCGGGAGTCAGTATTTTCCCAATGTGAGACACGAAACGAATGCTATGAAAGAGAACTTTAGGTTACTTGCATAACCCCGGTTCTCTGAGTAGCATGAGTGAGTGTCTCACCAGACCACCCTCCTTGCTCATTCGTAGCGAGGAAGAGGTGATGGGTTTTTTTTTTTTTTTTGAATGATGTGCAGCACAGTGTCAGGCCCCTTTATAGGGGGAGGGTCTCCACCCATCCTGACACTGATGTGCTTAGTTCCAGCCAATCCTGGCTGGCGTAATGTAAAAGGAGCTTCTGACGAGGTCATGCCGAGGGTGTTCCCAATGTGAGACACTCACTCATGCTAGTCAGAGAACCGGGGTTACGCAAGTAACCTAAAGTTTCTTGCACTCAGCCTGTTTGTAATCCTGAACTCTCTCCATCCGCTGCACACTTCCTCTTTCAAACAGTTTTTACTGGAAATGTGGCAAGAGGGCAGCTGTGCAGAACATCAAAGAAGCTGTGAAATACCTCTGTTTTTTAAAGGTGTGGAAGGCCTTGTCGCTGCCGAAGTTGGACCGGTTGTCGGTCGCAGGCTGGAACGGGACCGAGTGGATGAAAGTGGAAACAGATGGAGAGAGCTGGAAGAGATGGAGGAATAAAAACAAGATGGTGTATAGTTCAGACAGATAATGAGCATTTTAGTGAAACCAAATATTAGAATAAGTAAATGAAGTGGCATCTACAATATATTAACATTAATAGGGCTGCAACTAAAGATTATTTTAATCAAATTAATTAATCAATCCATCCCGAAGCGTTCCCAGGCCAGGTGAGATATGTAATCCCTCCAGCATGTTCTGGCCTACACTGGGGCCTCCTTCCAGTAGGTCGTGCCCAGACCACCTCTAACAGGAGGCGTCCAGGAGGCATCCTGATCAGATGCCCGAATCACCTCAACTGACCCCTTTCAACACGAAGGAGCAGTGGCTCTACTCAATATCAAGTAGATCAATTTGATGTCTATCAACTAATTGGTGCAGCTCTAATAAAAACCACAATGAAACAAAGATAACTAATCTAAAACAGGTGCTGTCTTACAAAAACATGGTGTATGATAGTACTAATATTTTATTATATTCAGTAATACTCAGAGATTAGTAAGTATTTATAGAAGCACAATACAATACAAGTGAGTTACCTTGGCTGTGCTTCTGTCTTGGGCCTGTGTCAGACGGTCCCTTAGATCTGGAGAGAAAGACGCCACTCTTTCATTCTCTGCCAGCAGACGCAAAGTACACTTGTCCAAATGAGCCACCAACCTGACAAGAGTACACACTTAGGGAATCAGCTCAAGGAGACTGGAGGAGCAGCATCATTTAAATAGGAAGCTGTGTGCTGATATATTCATGTCAATAAAGAGGAGAAAATTTAGGAAAGATGTGGCATAAGGTATAAAACAACTCACTGAAACTGATTCTCCAGAACCTTCACTGCAAAGTACACACAGTTGTGTACTTGTCTCAGGTAACATCTCTCCAGGACGTCTGAAAACGTGGGGAAAAGGAGGCTTTATCTCAATTTCAGTTCAAAGAGAAGTGAGAAATTTCCTACTACTTTAGGATTAAAGTGACATCAAAAATAAACACATACCTGAATTCATCGCACACAGACTGTCCTGTTCATCATCATCATGAGTGTGAGGAGACCGAGACGTTAGCAGCTGCACCACAAAGAAGAGCTCCAGGAAAATGTTTGGCACAAGATTTTCTGTAAAACAAGATACACAAACAAAATCCATTTATTTAACTTTTTTTAACTTACATACATTTGTCTACTTACTAATAAAGCATGTGAACATGTTTAAAGTCTGACTTCTTAATTATTCACAGTTTTATTTATTCACAATATCATATTACTGATTTATATATTTTGCTTTATTTAATTATCTGAGGAAGAATTGATACATAAAAATATATTTAAGTTAAACTTTTTCCTCCGCAGTTTCCTTGTGTAGCCTGTTAACGCCGCCCTGTGGTCACTTACCAGAAATGCAGGTACAGTACAGCTCTGCAAGGAGATCCAGTTCCAAACAGAAAGTGACTTTGGATGGTTCAGGACACGGTGTCTGCAGATCTGGTGTAACTTTAGATCCCATCCTAAGCCCTGACTTGGTCGGGGTGCAAGGGTCCAGAGAGGACGGCAGAGGAGAGCCGACCTGCTGAGCTCGCTTTGTCCTAAAAACAGGACATTTCGGATTGAGAAACAGCAGAGGTAAACAGAGGTGAAGAGCAAGTGATGCTGCGGTGGAGCCAAAAACAGCAGACACTATTATTGATAATAATAATGGTGAAATTTAAAAAATAGATATTGTAACATATGTGTAGAAATCTGTAAAAGAATACCATGTATAGAGTGTTAATTACAAAGAAAAAAATGTGTGTACTGTTTGCATTGCTTTGGTTTTATTGCTACATTGCACATCTGAGGTGTTTGCACTAATATAATACTGCACAATATTTTTTAAATAAAGGTAAAACTCCTCAAAAGAGGTCGACTTTCACGTCAAAATAATCATTCTGCATGTGCACTTACTTTTCCCTCTTTAGAAGCTCCCTCTCTTCCTGTAGGCTCAGTGGACTGCCTGCTGTCATCGACCCCTCAAGTGTCTCTACAGCTAAGGAGGGACTATTAGATTCACTGAATGGGGTGGAGGTGAAGCAGGTCTTTGGTTTGGAATGTGGCCGCTCCGCACTGACTGGCGTTGGGTTTATTCTTCGTGATGGTTTGGATGCCCTAAGGGATAATGGAAACTATTAGACAAAGCTTTAAAAAAAATCAGTGTTGATTTTGTTTAGGTGTTAGGAGTTGTTTGGACTCACGCTGGTGAAATGGGGGACGATCCTACAGGAGGGAAGTCCTCCAAGTTGTTGAAGTTGAGCTGCCCCACAGATGGAGGTGAAACCTGCTCGCTTATCCTACTGTTCCCTCCTCCTCCTCCTCCTCCTCCTCCTCCTCTACCGAACCGCCTGCCCCCGCTCTCCCACCGTCCTGTATCATCACTGTGATGCCCTCCACGCCATCCTCCATATTTCCCTTGTCCCCCTGCTGCCATGCTGCCACCACTTCTCCTGCGGCCCTTCTGTGACTGGTAGCCGGGGCTGTTCTGGAGCTCAGGAGGAGAAACCATGTAGTCCCCCAGACTGATCCTCTGACCAGACCGGCGCTCAGAGCCTGCAGGCCTGGGGACGGGGCTCCATCCTGTGCTAAAGGACGGGCTGCTGAAGGCATTGAGCCCACTCAGAGAGTGGGACCCTGACTGACCGGCAGCATCCCACTCAGTTCCAGGTGACACTGAGGGGGCAGGAGAGAATAGCTGGACCCTGCTGGCACTACGCGAACCAGCTCCACCACCACCTCCACCTGACCTGCAACCCCTCCTGTCAGTGAAGGTCTGTGTCTGTGCTGCAGGTCTGGGGCGGCTGGGGGTCTTGGCTGGCGTGGCAGGGCCATGGGTTAACGCTTGGCTGCTCTGTTCTCTCAGGAAGTTTAAAAGAAATGGGACAAATTCTTGTTTGTGAACTGTCACTCCAGGTTCTCTGAATGCCAGCCTGTCTCCATCCTGTTGAAAAGATAGACATAAGTGCTGGAAAAATGGACTGTGACAAATGCAGCATTTATAAAGCTGAATTGACTGATTATAAATGCTATTAAATCCACGATGAAGCAAAGGTGGAGAGCAACTAGGTCAGTACAGGTTTTGCTGGACAGCTTCAAGACATTTCCACAGAAAAACAGCCTGTTGGCCTAGCTAACAATGTGCTGACTAATTTCCGCCAAGCTGCACAGCCCTCCTCATATATTATTAATAATAATAACCGCAGCAAACAGCCATGGTAAGCTGTGATTCAAAGATACATTTTGTGGAAGTTGACGCACCGTCTCGCCTGGAGTCCATCCCATCCAGGCTACAGCTAACCTAGCAGGCTAACTTAGCTCTCCAGCTAAAAGTTTTGTTTACACTCGGTTGCGGGATATGTCATCTCATAAAAAACGTTAAACGAGGGAACGCTAATATTAGATGTTTGATTCATGTGGCTTGTAATCGTTTCGGACCTACCTCTTCTTTCTTTAGCCAGCCCAAGACCGTTTTAATGTCCACTTTCTGTAAGAGAAGCGATTCCAAAAGAGCCGCCATTCTGCTGTGGGTGAAGGACTGAGGAGAGGGGGGCGGGGCCAGCGTGTGCGCAGGCGCGTCATGCGTATGACGTGGCAGTTCAGTGCAGCTGACAAAACCTGACAATCTTTTTCATTATAAGATGTTTTTAAGGGTTTAGAGCAGTGGTTTTTAACTCTTTTAAACTTTTTTTTTAATTTTTAAACTCTTGTTTGTTTGTTTTTAAACATCTTATTAAAAAACTGCATGAGGACACAACATTAATGTTATACAGTGTGCACAGGTTCGGTGTTTTTGTAGCTTTTTTATTTTTTGAGATTAGAATTGACTGAATATTGACTGGTATTGTTTTAGTTCAGATTCAAATAATAAAAAGGAGGGTTTATGATTGTAAAATTTTGACTTATGAATGTGAGATTTTGCAAGTAATAGAGTCAAATTTTTGTGTCGCATACAACCATATCCCCAATACCCTTTAGTCCTAGGCCGTGCTCGTTGGGCAGACTGTTTCCAGACAGTTTAATCCTGCCTAGGAAAGAGAAAATGGCTGAATTATGTTTGCTACAGGCAAGGCATTCAATTACACACTTTTAGAAGAATGTGAGTTGCCCTTATCTTGGCTGTTGGTTGATTTAACAGCGAGTTTGGCCCTTAAAAACTCACCTATTTAGCAAGAAATAGGGCTTCTGAGTTTATTGATATTTAGGGAATGTGATAGTGTATGTGACATTAAAGATCCTTTGGAAATGTAAGGTTCAAAGGACACAAACTAATGTGAGGATAGTGTGCTGTACCTGGTCCTAAATGTGTGTTAAATTCTATCTGTTGGTTTACTGCTTTATTCTGAATATTTATTTTTATGTATGTAGGTGTTTCTTTAATGATTATGATTTTTATTTTAACAATTATTATTGCTTTTTTATGTATAATGCCATATGTTCTAACTGGGAGGTGGGTCTTATATGTTTGTCTAACTTGTTAAATGTTTAAAATCAATAAATATATGTTTGATGATAATAGTGATCATACTGATTTGCTTTGGTAGAGGGGCGAGTACAAATGCGAAACAAAGCATATTCATAAGAAAGGGAAAATTCAAAATCGATATACTGAGAATTTAAAAAAACAGACATCTTGCCAAAAAATACAGGAGCTGCTGATGAATCATCTTAAAAGTGACCTCCCTCACATTATTTTTAATAAGATATTTAGAGGGTAGGCACCAGATTTTCCTCCAGTTCAGGTTTGATCTTAGTGAGGATGTGAGGTTGCTAGGTGTGATGCATTCTTTCAACAGATGTGATTGGCTGACACAGACACACCCCTTTGTGAGCCTGCAAGGTGTGGACACCCAGTGGAAATGAAATGAACTTCTGACTGTGAAAGTGATGTCACTGTTGGTGTGATCACTCTGCTGATGGAAGGTTGAGACAGACTCAAGTCACCACAGCTGCCATGTTGTGTTTTTCCAGTTTGCCAAATATCTTAGTGTTCTGATTTTATTTCTGGTATTTCAGCATTAGGTGAGAAATGTGTGCATATACCTAATGAAATCAACCACACCTACTATCTTGCACAATCCTGTAAGTGGCATTTTATTTATTCACTTTCATCCAGTGTTTGGAGAATATTTCTCTCACCTCTTTGTGTTTCCACCATTTTCTCCTCTGCACAAGAGACTCTGAAGCCTCTTAAAACTCCTCCTCCCTGCTCCTAACAGTTTTCCACCTTAGGAGCTCTATTAAGGTCTAAGATGCTCACTTAATTACTCTTATCTTTACAAGGACCTAGTCTTATCCTTAAGGGGAAACTCTAAGAAAACATCACAATTCTAAGAATTATCTTAGACTTTTGTCACCAGGTGCAACTCTTTGTGCATTTGAATGGGAGTATATCTGAAGCAACATCTGCTCTCCTCTCCCTTTTACCTGTCATGTTGCTTAATAGTGTAATGTTGCTGAGGTTTTATCTGTCAGTGCAGATGTGTTAGGCGGCTGTCACACTAAACTAGAAGAAAAATAATAATAATCTTCCTGACTGCACTACAGATCAATTTTAACATTTAGGTTTAAGTGTTTATAGGCTATAGAACAGTGCCACAGTCAGGTGCCGCTTGTTAAATGTGGAGTTAAAAGCTTCTATCATATGCGTCATTTTGCTTGGTAATGATTCCTAAAATAAAACATTTAGGAAAGCTCAAAATAGGGATGATTTAACATGAAAAAAAATATTTGCAGACCGGACGTATGCATGCCGGAAAACAATTTGGGGGCCAGATCTGGCCCTTATACAGTAGCTGCTGGTTTGAGACCCCTGATTTAGGAATATTTAGGTGATTTAAGTTACAGCGTATCGCAAAGACACTGTTGTTGACTTTAACATTTATTTAAACTTCCCACTCTAAAAAATCGAATTAATTTGATCAAGTGTCAAGGCAAATGCCACACACATAAACTTTAAATCTTTTAAAATGTAAATGATGTCATTACGTATGCTTCAAAGCAGAAACAAGTAAATGTATGTCTGAAATACATGAAAATTGTTCTAGCAAACATCACAAAAGTCTGTGTAATTCTTCTGTTTTTTCTAATATGACCATGTTTTGTGGTATTTTGGTTGTATCTTTAACTTTGAATCTTATTCTGATATTAACTCCCCTGTTACAAATTGTTTTTCTTATCAAATATGCTTAAACATCGACACAAAAATTAGTAAAACCCTATACAATTGCCAAAGTTTCAGGATTAAAAACAGAAACCTTCCACAAGATTTTTTTTTGTCTGCATGCGGAATGAGTATTTTATTTATAACCAGTTTATAAAAATAAAATACAAAATAATTTTAAAACAAAAAAGAAAAAAAAACACTGTACAAGGCATTGATATGATACAAATGATAGAATCAACATAAATAATTACAGTTATATACAATGCAAAACTCCCACTTGTTACATTCTTTCCTTGAGACTGTACAGTTACATTTCAAAACCATGACGTACATTACAACACAAAAAATATCAACCATTAAAAAATCCTGACAAAATGATGGATGGGCAAAAAATTAGCAAATGTCACAATAAATAATCTTCTGTCAAGTATTTATAAGTTACTAACAAGTAATCGGATGTTATGACATGAGAAGTGTACCAGTGCACACCAAAAGCTTTCATTAGTTTCCATCAAAACGAAATAAAAACAGCTGGGTTTGTTTCATTGGCCGGTGGGTATCTGCGACTGCAAGTACCCTGCAAGCTACTATAAATATGACACCTTTCTATGAGCAGGCCACAAAGAAAATCTCATCTGGAGGGTAACACTAGTACTACAACTTCACACCACTTATGTGCAATAAAATAAAACAAAAAAAACATGAGAAGAAATCTGATTATCTTTTTAAAACCAGCAGCACTGTTTAGTGTCTGTTCCTCCCTTTTCACTGAAGCCTGTTAGCGTTATGGTTTTACAATAATTATTTTATTTAAATAATCAGTTTATATTTTACAGGTATATATTAAAAGTCTGCACAACAGCGTTCTTGGACTCTGAAAGCTTGAAATAGGGGAGGATTCAAAGATTGATTTGCTGGCGACATGTAGAAATTGCACGCCCCCAATTTGAGAGCACAGTTATCACACACACCTCGAATGCTGCACTCTGAAATTTTCCCATTTCCACCAGTCGATCGATAAATGGCATTCTCACAGAAAAAACACAGGGAGCTCTCTCCAGTAGAAGCACAGCTTTGTAAGCACAAGAGTCTGACAGCACTGATTTCGGCGGTGATATACATATATATATATATGTATATCGACCACACTGACAGGCATGGTAGCACATGCCGTTTACACACACGAGATAAGTGACAGGAAGGCTTGGCTTATTGGCCCAAGTAGTGGAATGATCTCCAACACAGACAAGGCTCAGTCATCCCTCGCTATGCACAGAGGGGCAGAGAGGAGACATTAAGGCGACTGACTGACTGAACGCTGTCTGCCTTCAGGATGAGTCATCATAGCTGCTCTGTGAGGCGAGCGTAGGTATCTGCAGGATCTGCATGAAGCAGCACACATTATATCTACAAAGCAAGGTGCCCATTCAATCTCTATACGCTCCCATATTCATCGTCAAGTCGAACCACATCTGCAAAATCTATCAAAATATTTGGCAATGTGATTTTTTTTCTCAGTCCATGTGTGCAGCTGTTAAACTCACGATACAAGTGCTTAAAACACAGCAAAGTCTATTCTCCTTTATTATTTATCTTAATTCTTTTGTGCATCATGTCAGCTACTCGTACTGATAAAAAGTCCAGCAACACAATCGTCCCAAGTCAGTGCAGGAAGTGCAGAGAGACTACACCAGGTGGGAAGAGGAGTGAAAGGGTCAGAGAAAATATATAGATTCAAAAGGTAATGAAGTCTGGGTTTAAAATCTTCACAAGATAGATGCCGTGTGGCGGGTAGTGCTATGCAGCTATTTTACTCAGTAGTGTTTTCTCGGTCGAGCATGCAAAGAGTAGCGTCGGAAGGAGGCTGGAGTTATTTTTACAGTATCTTACAAGCAGAGGAGTGGGAGCGAGGTGGTGGAGGAGAGTTTCAGTGAGGAATCCTAACTAAATCAAACACAAACAATACTCTGATTCCTTCCCCTTGGGCACAAACACACTGTTATGTTGTTGTTATTATATATAAAAGACATTCTCCGCCGCGGGAGGAGCGAAAAATAAATACAAACATTCTTGCACATGGAAGCATGGAACGTCGTTTTGGTGTGAGAGAGATATATGTACATATGGCCTCGGTTTGTAATAACATTTGACAAAACGCTGTTTGAGGTCTGAAATTCACATTTTTTCATCAAAGTTTAATCTCCAACACTGACCTGGAATATATACAAGAGACACACTCTTAGAAATAAAGGTTCCAAAAGGGTTTGTACTGAAGGGCCAAGGTTCTACCCAGAACCATTTGCTTCTGAGGAACCCTTTTTTGAAGAGAGGTTCTTCAAGGGTTTTCTTATAGTAAGACTAAGGGTTCAATTAAGAGCCCTTCTCATCCATTGAACACTTGTTTGGAGGAAGGGTTCTTCAAGGATTCTTTGTGAGATGCAGGGTCCCATTAAAGAGCCTTTTGATTAACAGAACCCTTTTTTCAAATAAAGGGTTCTTCAAGGGGTCTTTTTTTTAGAACTAAGGGTTCCACTAAGTGCCCTTCTCATCCATAGAATACTTTTTTGAAGAGGGTTTTTCAAGGGTTCTTTGTGAGATGCAGGGTTCCATTAAAGAGCCTTTTCATCTATAGAACCCTTTTTTCAAAGAAAGGGTTCTTCAAGGGTTCTCTGTGAGACACAGGGTTCTGTTAAGGTCTCCGTTGAGGAGAGGGTTCTTCAGGGGGTCTTTTTAAGACTAAGGGTTCCACTAAGTGCCCTTTTAATCCATAGAACACTTTTTTGAATAAAGGGTTTCCATGGGTTCTTTGGGAGAGGCGGGGTTCCATTAAGAACCCTTTTCATTGATAGAACCTTTTTTTTTTTTTTGAAGAAAGGGTTCTTCAAGGGTAATTTGAGAGACACAGGGTTCCATTAAGAAACCCCTTTCAACCATCAAAGACTTTTCTTAAGAAAGGGTTTTTCAAGGGTTCTTTGTGAGATGAAGGGTTCCATTAAAAACCCTTTTCATCCATAGAACCCATTTTTGAGGAGAGGGTTCTTCAAGGGTTCTTTTTAAGACAAAGTGTTCCACTGAGTGCCCTTCTCTTCCACAGAACTCTTTTTTGGGGGAAAGGGTTTGTCAAGGGTTCTTTGTGAGACGTGAGGTTCCTTTAAAAAAACTTTTCATCAATAGAACCCTTTTTTGTAGACAGGGTTCTTCAAGGGTTCTTTTAAGATTAAGGGTTCCATTAACAACCCTTCATCTATAGAACCCCTTTTTGAGGAGAGGGATCTTCGAGGGCTCATTGTAAGACTAAGCGTCCCAATAACAACTCTTTTCATCCAACAAAAAACGTTCTGTGAAGAAAGGTTTTTCAAGGGTCCTTTTAGAGAGGATGGGTTCCACTAAGAACCCTTTTCACCCAAAGAACTCGTTTTTGAAGAAAGAGTTCTCCAAGGATTGCTGAAAGCATGGTTGTGAAAATATCCTCACTATTAAATATCTAGATTTTTACCCATGTATTTTAAATGTAGGCTTGAAGCATCTGGAATCCCTTTAATCAATTGTTCTGCCATAGTTAGATATCAACTACCATCACTTCATGCCATTCAATACCACATAGTATGAAAATTCTTTTTTTATTTTAAGAGTGCCTGATACATTTTGTATTCCATTCTAATTTGGATAATAGTAAAGGCTGTAGCAGAACCATGAGTGTTGTGGGCTGCATTGGACCACATCAGCCCCAGCTCTTCAGGAACTTTATGAAGCTTAAGGCTGATGGACGTGGTTATGGATAGATCCCCCCAATAGCGTTTTCCCACCAAATTAGCTCTGGTTCTTGAACCAGGTCCATTCAGCATTCTTGGAACCTTGGTGATACTTGGCCAACCAGCCAATATTTCCACCATTGTAATCAGGTATGTCTTTAACAGTAGTAGCAAAATGGTGGATCGCATTGCTTACCCATGAATATTGGTTTTAATCCATAAACAAGCATGGACGAACTTTTAATAAGGCCACTGCACACTTTTTTCCTAAAGATTTCTCACTTGATTTCACCATTGTTGCCTTCTCCATCCTTTCTTTCCAATTGGTAGAAAACGCCTACTAATGTCATCACGGTTTGCACTTCTGGTTAAGAATTTTTTTTCTTGGTTTCTAGCTGAGAACCAACTTTACAGGTTCCGAACTAATTTACATTTGGTCGAAAAAACCTGAACAGTTCAAAATTAGGTGCAGGAACCGGGACAGAACCTGTTCCATGTTGGTGGAAAAGGGGTAAGGGAGGGTTCTGGGTGGGACCATTACCCCAGGGTTCTTTGTACAACTTCTCATAGGGGGTTCTGGGTGAAACCTCTCACAGATGGTTCTAGGTATAACCCTTCTGTTTAATTCTAGGTTGAACCCTATGAAAGGGTTCAAGGGGGGGACCTCAATAAAGTTTCGATCAGGAACCAAAAAGGATTCTCCTTTTTTTCTAAGAGTGCAGCTAAGACGGGTTTCACTTGAAATATTTCCATGTTTTCATTACAAATAATAGCTACTCAAGTAAACTGCTGCTCAAATTGTGTTTGATTTACAAACATTTGTGTTGCTACCTTAACAAAGAATACTGGTGAAACGGTTCGTCTTATAACCGCTGGCACAAGTCTGTTTTTGGCTCCTGTTTTTGTCTAATTACAAACAAGGTGAATCCTCAAGCTGCCCAAAGTGCCAAGGCACATGCTGAGACAAACATCTGTGTCTGAACATTACTCATCAGTAATGTACCTTGTGTCGCTTAAGCTCTCTACTGCTACCACTGTACAGCTACCACAGCCTGTAATCCCCTCAGTCAGTGTGACAGTTTGATTCCCTCGTAGCAACACAGTAGGCACAAAAAGGTGTGTGTCCTCACGCACTTGACATGATTGATTGTACAAAAGGGGTCACTTTGGAGTGATCCCTTCGATTTTAAACATTTAAAACTAATGTGAGCGACACAAAACCACACATCCACTATCACACAGAAGAGGGTAGGACTCGTAAGCGTCGCTAAGCGTCAAAATAAATATCTCAATAAATACAACTGTACACAAATTCTGGCTTTATGCATTCACAGGTAGCGTAAGGTAAATTATTATATAACCCTGCCTGCGATCTCCAAATGCAGAGGAGATAACCAAGTCAACCCCAGGCCAATATTTAATTAAGATATCATCAGCTATACTGATATTCCATCAGTATAATCCAAGTGCATTAATACTGGGGATAAATAAGTTACATTATATCATGGTGCAGGATGCATGAGGATGAAGAGACAGGAAATTCATTTATTTATGTGCCCACTGGTCCAGCTAGCTATTGGTTTATATATTATAGTTCTGCCTGCATTGGGAAATAACAGTTTAAGTTTGCAGGTGTTTCTTTTTTTTTTTTTTGCTCTACATCATGATATAAATAAAATCAGGACCCTGACATGTCAAAATCTCGTCTGATGAGTTCTCATAAAGGGGCACTCCACCGATTATTCAGCCTGTCAACAATTTTATTAAAAACTGCAGGTGTGGTTGCATTATGGGAAATGTAGGGACTAGGGATGCACTATATATACATATATATATATATATATAAAGGGCTGATAATGGAACATTTTTATAATTACACATTATTCCGATAATTAAAGTTCTAGCCAATAAATAGCACCGATAATACAAAGCCCCACTGCTTTCACTGACCTAACAAGGGCAGCATCTACACACCCGACACAGTGGGTGGCCGTACAGGTACCTTTAAACTTGGTTTGAGAGCCGCCAATAAACACAAAGACGAAGAACAACTACAACTGCAGCACGCTGTCTAGAGGGCAAAACATGTTGCAGTGCGGATGTCTTTCACAGTTCCAGAGGAAGACAACAGAATTGCGCCAAGGGTCTGATCTCTGATCTCTGAAACAGCTCTGAAGGGTCGTCTCCAGAGTGTAATGTGTGAGGTGAATCAATAGCGCATCGTTATTCTGCTTGGTGGCTGTAGGCTAGTCTATCGTGGGAGGGTGAGATGGCGCCTGGGTGTGTTGCAGTGTGACGACATAAACATTTCATACACCAGATGCAACGCAGACCTGTGATGATTATATGAGTCATCTGTCAGTGTTTGTCTCTGTTAGGGATGCGTGTGATTAATCGTCTAATCCGATTAAACATCTGCCCCCTTGCTAATCAGCACCAGAAATATTTGTCGGTTAAACCTATTCGTGTTTTATTTGTGTACAAGGCTGCTTAATTGTCATGCAGCCGCCCACCACTAGTGGGTGCTACAGAGCCGTCAGACAGCAGTCCCTCTCCCCGTGGTAATGCTCGAGTAAGGAAATTAGTCGCCAGGAACATCCCTTGTCTCTGTTAGTAGAGACTTCACTCTGCAGTGTAGTTTATACACTTTATTAATACACCAGAGAATTACACAGTAACACTGGGCTTCATAATCTCCCTCTCTCTTACCGTTACCTATAAATTTAAAACTGATTTAGAGACATTTTATATTCATTTATCATATTCATCTGTAGTGTAGGGTTGTATGGGGGCAGGGGCATTGAGGGTAGGCCATTTGACAACACCCCAAAAAATCTCTATCTTTTTCACAGCCTAATTTTAGCAGGTATGGAAAAGTCAGAACTGTTCTTTGTTTTTGTTGTGTTAATAGTGATGTCAGTTTGATTTGGTTCGGTCAAGGTTATGGAATATTAAATCATCCATATTCTCATTACATCTGAGCCTTTCTTACCCTCAGGTGGACATACAGTACAGGATTTACACCTCGTTTTAAAAACAAATATGTGAAATTGTCGGTTATCGTTGGTTATCGGCCATGAGAAGCAGGTAATTATCGGTTATTGGTATCGGTTGAAAAAGTCCATATCGGTGCATCCCTAGTAGGAACCAACATTCTTAGAGTTTAACCGACTAAAAGTCAGGATATATTGGCTTCTGCTGCACAAATATTGATCATTCTTTTTCAAACAAGTCCAAAAACTATGGAAGTGCAATACTAAATCGCTGGAGTACCCCTTTAAAGCTGGGCACATAAATTAATGACAAATCCTGTGTGCAAATAGAAGTGAAGAGAACAGTGGGAAACAGCGAGACAAGTGTAAGGTTCAAAAAGGGAAAGTTGTACAGGAAGATTACAGGAAGGCTTGTATCCTGACTGCGGTCTACCCTATTTTAACAGGAGTCTCCTCTGCTGTGGCAGCGCAGCTTGGTGGGCAACTATCTGCTCAGCTTGCTGGAGCACTTGCCCTCTCGGCTGCAGCCTTTCCCCCTGGACAGGTGGAAGGGGCCCGTGCGAGCCTGGCGGCTGCAGCAAGTCTCCTGGTGGTGAGGGTAGAAGCGGCGGGGGGGTGGCGAGCCGGAGAAGCTGGGGGGCGAGCGGCTGCGGCCCAGGCAACCCCCTCCCCCGCCACCGCGGTGCTCGTGGCGGGAGGGCGAGGAGCTGACAGAGCGCTGCAGGGAGGAGGAGCTGCGCGGGGAAGCGCTGGAGCTGCGGTGGTGGTGTGGGGAGCTCGTCAGGCTGCAGATGCCCATCCTGGAGCCTCCGTGCTGGGCTGCGGAGCGGTGGTGGAGGGGGGAGCCACGGGAGCCATGCATCAGTTGAGCAAGGCATGTCAGGAGGTCTGAGTCACTGTTGCTGCCGGCTCGGATGCGGTAACGCCTAAGCCTAAGTGGGTACAAAAAGCAGGGCAGGTTATGGATAAAAGCCGAGTCGTATATTTAAAAGCAAACCAGAAAACAGTGATAAACACATTTCGTGCCCAGAGTTAGCTGAGGCGGACGTTACACCTCTCCTAAGGTCAGCCAGCCAGCAGGTGGTTAACTTAGCTTAAAATAAAGACAGGAGGCAAGAGGAAACAACTAGCCTAGCTCTGTCCACAATGGACTCTAAATTTTACTAATTAACACTTTTAAAAATATATAAACTCTGTATACAAACAGAGACATAACAGTTGTGGTTTTATGAGGTGTTAGGTGCTGAAACTGTTTCACAGACAGGATGACTCCAAGAAGTCAACGTGCCCAGCCAAGAAATTGTTCCAGCACAAAATAAACAACCAAGATTCAACAAATTAGTCAAATTTAGAGGTGATGATGGGCAGATTTGTTTTAGCTTTGGACAGAGCTCTTTCTTTCATGCTGTTCATCATAAATGTTTGAGAACAATAATGGTTTCGTTAGTTTTTCACTTTTTGATCCATGAAAAAATAGATGGAGATCGATGAGTTACCTGCCCTCCACTGTGGGGCGGCAAGGTGGCTTTCCAGGGGGTGGGCGCGGCAAGAATTGCGCAGCCAGCTGCTCAGCAGACGTAGCTGGGTGAACGGGGCGAGGGATCCTGCTCTTGCGGGACAGAGGGCTGGAGGAGGAGGAGAGGGAAGGAGCATCGTCTCCCTGGCGGTCAGAACGGGAGCCCATGAGAGAGTCCTCGTCCTGAGAGCGGTCAGATGTGGAGGACAGTGGGTCCCGGGCGAGGGAGGCCACCATGGGGCCACGCCTATCAGAGAGGGATGGTGAGGCAGTGGGGGAGGGGACTGGGCCCGGGTGGTTAGCTTTCTTCTGCAGGAGTTTCTCCTTAGCAGACCCTGGAGGAGGGAGCTCCAGCAGGCTGGAGGGCTCCAGGACTGGGATGCGACTTTGCCTTCGACTAGGGTCCTTACGGGGGGCAGCCGGGGAGGAAGTGGGTCCGTTGGTCTGATCTGGGACGTGGTTCACATCTCTGCTCCCATCTTCTAGCTGAGGCTCTGTGGCACAGGGAGTCGGGCCGGGATCATTCTCAGGGTCTTTCAGTTTGGGGAATGCTCCGTTACTTAAATCCCTTTGGCTGTTAACAGGAGGAGAGAGGTGGCCGTTGGCAAGATCAGGGCTGCGAGGGGAGCGAGGAGAGTGGGGAGAGTGGGGAGAGCGTGGAGAGCGTGGAGAGGAAGGTGAGCGCAGAGGAGGCGGGAGTGGAGAACGGGGGGAGCGTGGGGAAGACACACGGTTTGACGCGGGGCTTTGAGCTTTGCTGTGGATGTCTCCATTGACCAGCATCTCAGCCAGGGGGTCTGTGGGTGTCCCTGGATGGGTGGGCACATGGTCCTGGGGTGAACTGATGTCCGCTGTGTGCTCCTGCATCTGCTGAGCCTCAGCTTCAGCTTCACCACGCCTCTCCAGCAGGAGGCACTGTGGAGCACTGTCTGATCCTGACTGCGAGGACAGCCCAGAGGGACGCTGAGCTGTCAGCTGGAGGGGAGGGGGGAGGTGGAGACACGGGAGGGAAGAGAAGGACACACAGGTGTTATTTATAAAAGCAACCACACTAAAAATGGGAATAATATTCTAATTGTCAAAGGCCTGTTGCTGATAGACTACAACATGTCGAGTTGTGCTGTAGTTCTGTAGCAAGAGCCTGATCAGTGAAAAGAAAAATAATTTTAAAATATGGGGTAATAAATGGTGATTAGTTTGGCAACAGCATGCAATACCATAGCTACCATTATCAGACCGAAACACACAAGTGCTATGGCAGTGTCAGTCAAGCTGTGAGTACTAAACCAGCGAGTAGGACAGGAAACGTTCACGCAACTTCGCAGGGGGCTTCAGCGAAGAGAGGGTGAGGAACAAATACAGGGAGAGAGAGAGAAAGAGAAAGATAGAGAGGACAAAGACGATCTGAAACAAAAGAGACCATGCAACCTGTAGTCATGACTCGACATTCCAAACACACATGCCACAATCAGACAAACACACACCCCTATTCAGATCACAAGGACACATGTCCAGACACAAGGACACATCTGACCCATGCTCTGTCTGGCCTGCACAATGCCCCTCATGGTTTCTGGAGAGCTGCCTGACGACAACACAATAAGCAAGCCAACTGAACAAAGAAGCCAAAATAAGCAACTTAAACAAAAAAGAAAAAGAAAGAACAAAAATGTTTTTGCCAGAGGAAGCTGAATGGAGGGTTTTACGAGGTTGTGATGGGCTCATCACCTGCTGAAGCTGGGCGCGAGTGATGCGTATGACAGAGGGAAACTTGGCGTTGGCAGCGCCCGCCGGGATGGCCGGCAGTTTCCTGCGACTGGGTGAGCAGGTGCCGGGGGCGGGGTTTGGTGGTAGTGGTAGGGAGGCGTGGCAGGAGGAGGAGGAGGAGGGGCGCTCCTGTTGCTGATGGTCGACGGACTGGCTGCGCCTCATGTTCGGTGGCTGGCGCAGGTGCAACGGGTCCGACAGGGTGGTCAGGAGTGTGTGAGGGCTGGGAGAGCGCAGAGGGATGGGGCTTGATGTCCGGATCGCCACCTCCTCAGGCAGGGATGGAGGAGAGGTGGGGAGCTAAGAGAGGGGAGGGAGAGAAGTGGGAGGTGGAGAGAGGGGGGGTTGTGAGACCGGTGAGGGAGTGAGAAGATGGAGGAGGTGTGGTGGAAGTGCTACAGGTACAGTAGGACAAGCAGGTGGGGAGGACAACGTTGTGTTGGTTTGGACAGGTAAAGCGACGAGAGGATTGTGAACCATTTCCAGGCGTCTTTTGGTTGCTAGAAAACAACATTGTTGGTCCACTTAAACTTCCAGTCCAGCCCCTACTGCCGTAAACAGCATGTGATATACTGAACTATAATCCTCCTGATCTACGTTGTGGATGGTACCAATGGAACCGTTCTGTACTGTCCCCATTTTTGGTCCCCCCTCTGTTGGGGTACCTATCACACAGATCTGGCACTAAAAGGTGGAGCTGTGAACACTGCAGTCTGTTGATTGGTCAATAGAGGACGGTTACTCTGCTCAGGGCTGAGTTGTGGCTGGTTTTGAAGCTCATGTAACCACTGTTCATACTGTGGAGAGGTTTATTAGTAAACTGTAACTATAAAATGAGAGGATGTTTTGCTGCCTCTCACAGCAGCTGGAGTCTGAGAAAAAATAACTTCATTCACTGGACTGACTGCCGACGACTTTTAAGGTGGAACATTTACTTTGACCATCACTTTAGTTTTTATATGACATACACTTTTAGTAATGAGTGGATCTTCAAGTGTTTATATATATAAATTTCGGCCAGGTTATGTGAAGTGCATATATTCTAATCCTCAGTCGGAGAAAAAAGAAAACATTGCGGAGCGCCAATCTTGCGGGCTACGGAGCAGTAAACCCCCAAGCTTGCCTTAGAAGAACTAAATACACAAATATCCCATGGCGAGAGACTCTAACTGCTGCCTGTTGTATTTTGTTCTGAAAATGTCTGCATGCAGCCTTGTTCTGTGGACAATAAATGAGGTGCAGACTAATAGAGGAGGAAATACAGTGAGTGCTGGACGGAGCAGTGAGTGACAACAACCCCGCCCACATTTAAGTAAGTACTGTTTGCAGTGGAAACACTAGGGTCTAGGTACCATGTCTGAAGGGTTACTTTTTGTTCCAAAGGTACCATGCCGAAAGTGTTTGGTGGAAACGGGGCTCAAAGAACAAACCAGCGCAAGACGTAGATTGCAGAGGTCAAATGAAAGAGCTGAACACCGTCAGGAAACTCCAGGGTCTGTAAAGCCCAGTTCAGACCAAAGATATGCAACGAGACAAAGCTGTCTGCGCAAGTTCCTTTATTTAGGGAAGCGGTAGACTTTTATTTCTGACATCAAGTTCGTACCTTGTCAAAAGAACAGCCTATCATTGAGCAGCAAAGTCCTGAAACTAAATTTGCTATTTCCCTCAGTTTGTATTTCAGTTCAGGAGGATTCAAGTTCAGAGATTCATCTGCTGTTTTCATGCAGTAGTGGCTGGACAGGAAGTCAAATGGAACAATGATGTAATTTCTTGGCAAGCAAAAGACACCCTGAAACGGTCTGTGAAGATAACGGACAATGATTTCAGGCTAGGGAAGGAAGACAGAGGCGAGCTAGGTAGATTTTGGGAAGACCGTGTACATTATCAGACTGAAGGCAGTTGATCTGGTTGTAGGAAAATGACGAGACAGTTATTCTTCTTGTATTGACAAAAACTGACAACAATGTTTGTAAAATGTAAAAAACGTCATGTTGAATCGTAGATTGAGCAGGATTTAGGGATTTGGTGGGCTGGCTTAAGGTTTTCAAAAGTAAAGGAGCAAAAAAGTAATTTAAACTAAGCAAACCAAAGCATATTTTGGAAATAAATCACTCAATTTGTGAAGTAAATAAAACCAACCAAACACACTGCAAAAGTCTGCAAATAAGATAAAATTATGCATGATACCTTAACGCAAATCAAAGTGCATTTCAAAGCCATAAGCTCTCTCCCCCTCCCCCCCCATGCTGTGATCTGATAAAAAGCTCTGCAGCTGTGACACAAGTATCTATTTTCTAACAAAACACAGGCGAATAAGCATGAAAACATAAAGCAGTAACACTTAGCTTCAGACTACAGCAAGATGCAGCTGGTGGAACTCTGACTGTGTTATGATATTAGCACTGAGGTTCTACAGCTAGAACTCTGACTCTGTACAGCTTTTTAACTTTGTAAAAACGCTGACTACAGTCAGTATCATGTATGCCATGTTGTGAGATGGCCTTTAAATGAGACGGCTTACCTGGGTGAGGACTCCCTCAGCCAGAGCTTCAGCTGGGCTGGTTGGAGTGATGGGAGGCAGAGCCCCCACAGGGCCCACGCTAAGCTCCAACTTGTCCACTTTTGTGCTTCCCTTGGAGGAAGCCATGCTTTCTTGTTTGGTTTTACCAGAGTTAGGGCTTGGACTGCCCTTTTCCCATCCAGGAGACTGATCCCCCGGCTGGAGCACCTCCGGCTCCTCATCCTCCTCCGAGGGGCTGGTTGTAACCTTGGCTCCTGGAGAGCCACCAGGCCGCTCCACCATCACCCACTCCCTTGAGTCAACGTCCTGCCTCCCAGAGCTCAGATTGAGGGCCACAAAGCCCCCACTGCTGGCTGCCCCCTCTCCCTGCTCCAGAGATCCAGAGGATGCCGGCTTAGGAGAGCCACCGCCAGACAAGAACTCCTCATCGTAGTGCCAGACCCTATCAGGCCGCTCCCCGGCAGGTACAGCTTGACCCTGAGTTACTGGGATGATCGCAGGCCCGTCAGCCTCCTTCTCCTGGTGCTGGGCGCCAAGCTGCTGCTTCCCTGAGCTGAACAGACACAGGACAGATGCAGATAATCTACTCTATGCTCTATCCTCAGGAACATTTATGATAAAAATGATTTCAACAAAGATGGATGGGTTATTTGACAGACATACCAGGCCTCCACAAAGCGGTCTGGACTGGGCTTGGACTCCAGACCAAGCCTCCTCTCCAGCTCAAAACTGTGAATGTTGCGGAGCTTCCTCAGCAGGGGGCCATCACGGTCTGAAGCCACCACCTCAGAGGGCAGTTTGACTGGGGAGCCCAGGCTTGGCCCAGCATAGGGGCTCTGGTGCCCGTGGTTGCCCTGGTTGTTGCTGTGTTCCTCCTCCGTTGCCCCCTGTGGAAACCATTTGGTTTTGTTAGTGACTGATTAGTGACTGATTCTCTGAAAGCGCGTCAGGAGATGAAACTACCTTCCACACTGCTGTCCTGATGCGGTTACGGTTGCGATCCAGCTCCTCCCAGACGTCAGCCTCCTGGTTGCGGTGCGGGTGGAGGGGAGAGCCCGGCAGGCGCTCGGGAGCGGGGTTGTTCTCCACGTCGCTGAGCTGTTCATCCTGCAGAACCTCATCTGTGTTTTCCCTCATCAGGTCGCCAGGGATCAGAGAGGCATTTGCCATGCTGAGGCCACAAAACGTACAAACGTTATTTCATGTTTGAGTCTATAAAAAGCAGAGACAAGCTTATGATATTTGATACGAATAACTCCTGAATTTACTCCACTAAAAGTGTATATATTTCAATCAAACGTACCCCATGTGTGCCGGAGTGAGGCGAGTGTGATGTTGCGGTGTTGTGGCACTGGCACTGATTGTCAAAGTGCCATCAGTGCTGGTTCGCTCCCAGTCATAAGGGTCATTCTCCACGACATTGTAGGTTTTCATGCTGTTGTCAAACACTGACATCAGCAGCTGTAACCACAAGAAAATACATTATTTGTGAGATTTTACCCACAGAAAATCAAGTTTGAACATGTAAAGACATGCAGATAACACATAAACTTTAGCAGACCTTTTTAAAGATTGTTTTGGCACTGAAGAAATACTGAACTTGCTGAAACCATCACTTCTACATATGCAGAAAAGTGTTCACTCTTAACAGAAATCCAAACTGTGTCACCTGGTAGTCCGGCTTCGTGAAATAGTCGAGGCTTGAGATGTGCTCCAAGAACACGCCAAACTCTGCCGGCAAGTGTTTGAGCATCAGACGATGGTCGTAAGTATCCTTCAGCTTCCCCACATGTTCCTGGGAACAAACACACACACTTGTCACATCTCATCATCTACAGCTACCTGGACAGGGCTGTTTAGTTTCCATGAAGGACAGCGATCACTGCATGTCCTTACTTTGTCCTTGATCTTCCTCCACGGCAGCTGACCGACCAGAAACTCCACCAGCATGTAGAAGAGAGACCACAGGTCATCGTGACGACCCATCTCCTGCAAAATTACACCAAGGATCAGTTAACTTTTATTAATATGTGATCAGTGACAAAAAAGAGAAAGAGAACAAACGCGTTGGAGAGCAGCACAGATTACAAAAGGCTCTAGCACAGGGAAGACAGACACTGACCTTATTCTTGTGAGCATTGACAGATGCATAGCGGACTGTTCCCCTGAACCCTGCCACTGGACGGGGCTGACAAGCAAAGACAGAAACAAACTAATTATATTTTTTATCAATCTTTTATTTGCCTTTGCTCAATCAGCTTTTTCATTTAAAGCCATCAAACACAGGAATACGCTTATAGCTTCAAACTTGCACCGACTTTCATTCTTTGTCTCATGGTGCAAAAAAACGGAAACTAGAGATTTACACCCCCACGGTCCAGTTAAAGAGATTAGACTACCTTAAAATGTCTCAGTTTCTTGACATATGCTGATTGGAGTTCATACAAGATTTTGGTGAGAGCCATACACCTGTCTCTTTGTTACCTTGTCGACATAGCAACTCTAGTATATGTAGACGAGTGGGGCGGGCATTACCAAGCAAAACCTGTGCAGCCACTGTTGTGTAGAGTTTTGCTTCCAGGCACCAGAGAGTTCATTTTTTAATCCATCAGTATTGATAAATGCAGCTTCGAGCTCAGTATATACTCCGCAACAGAGGAGGGCACTTACAGGTCGGACCTCCTGGCAAGAGTTGGTGAACTGGCGAGCTAAACCAAAGTCCAGCATGTAGCAGGTCCGACAGGTACTAGGGAAGCGGCCCATTGCGAAGTTGGACTGAAGCAAAGAAACAGGAAGCACTGGTTAAAAGAATGATAACATGAATTATGTGTGAATTCAATTATTAACGTCTGTTTATATTCACATAGAGCCGGGGGAATAAATATGTCCCTATGGTGGACTATAATTTAATACAGCAGCTCAGGGGACAGCAGATATTTACATTCTGCCACATTTTGGGCATTTAACCAACACTCATAGTGAGCCAGCTTACTGTAAGTGCAACAAAATACTGAATCAGCAACACTGGCAGCCAATAATGAAAAGTGCAAGTGTCACAAGCACAACCCAGACAGTAGGAATATAAAAAATATTCTCATGTGTCGAGAATATATATGAGTTAGGGAATGAAATAAGCACTAAGCAGAAAATATCCTCTGCTGCAGCCGGCTAACTGTGACTCACTGGTTTGATGTCACGATGCAGGAAGCCGACAGAGTGGATGCTTTCTATGGCCTCCAGGATCTGGCGGCCCAGACGCAGGGTGGTGCTGATGCTGAAGGTTCCCCGGGTCATACTCCTCCTCAGGTCTGCCAGGTTACGACCCTGAGAGAGCGCATGTAACGAGATGAGCTAGTGTGACTTATTTGGCCTTTTAAGAACTTAGAATTTTAGAATTTCTAAGCCTGTGCTATGCTGAATTTGTGAGGAAGAGGTTTTTTTTCTTGCATAGTTCTACGGTGAACGAAGAATCCAAAAACTGGGAAAAATTCCTGATGAATTTAAATAAAAGAAGGCCACATTTAACAACAGCAAAACTACATGAAAACACTGGTTTACACACTCTAATCTAAGTCTCATTTATCCAGACGTATGCTCAGTACTTCCCAAACACATGCATTGGCCCCATTTCATCTCAGTTCATCAGGAATTTTCTCAGTTTTTGGATCCTTCGTTCACCTTGGAGGCATGCGAGACAAAAAAGTTATCTCCACAATTTTTACCGTAACAAAAGACGAGTTCTGATGGTCACTTTATGTGTGAAGTATTCCTTTAAAGACCACGTCTTAAAACACCAAAATCTATATCTAGGTCTCTTTTAGGAGTAAAGCACAGAAACTGGAAATGAAGATAAAAATAAAATAAAAATAAAATCGTTTCACTGGCTGAAATGTTTGACAGTGGTAACAGCCAAATGTGTTGAGTGGACAGACAACAAGCCAACAGTGACAAAAAATACAAACACAGCTGCACCGATCTCCTGTAATTGAACACATGGTGCGGTCGGGAGTCGGTGCAGTATGAGAAAATGAACCATTCCTGTGGGTACGATTGTAAATCACAACCAGACTACACAGTCTAAACAGTCAAAGCTAAGATAAAGTACTTGTGATCATGACTTTGGTGTTACAGCCTTGTGTGCTGGATGCAGATATTGAAACTACAGCTGCAACATTAAGTCAATTAATAAATGGACAGAAAATTAATCAGCAAGTATTTTGATAGTCAATTAATGGTTTGAGTCATTTGGGGCTCAGAGTGTATATGTTCCACTGACTGTTTATGAGGCATTTAAACCAACCTGAAGCTCCATCACCACGTAGTTGAAGCGGTCGTTGCGGCCACATCCCACAAAGCGACACACATGGTCCTTACCTGAGAAATAACAGAAGGACAAGAGAGTTTCAGGCTGAGGTCAATTCACAGTCACTTGACGTCAGCTGCATCATTGACCGTAAGCTGCTGTGTGAATCACGATGATCTGTGAGTTCATATTTCCCTCTGCCCTTCCCTCTCTACAGCTCACTGCCCCGCCATCAGCCAGCAGCCCTGGATGACTATGCTGCTGATTTACAGGCACATTACACCAGCTCTACACATGTACATGACTTGCCTTGTGTGTTTGTGCATATATGTGTGTGTCTGAGTCTCAAAGGACATTGCTGCACTGGCAGCTCAACTGCAGCCACACCCCGAACCCTCCAGCACACAGTGGATGTTACTAAAAAAGCCTCCATGTTGAAAACTTCTAGATTCACTAAATTAATCCAATCAGAGGATCAGAATCAAAACAAAATAAGCTAACATTAGTTGGATATGACCCATTGGTCTTCTGTCAGGTCGATGTTTACTCTTACAGCTGGCAGGTCAGCAATGTTTGGAAGGGACGGGCTGGAGTCTTAAGTTACATGCTGGATCCCTCAGGAAGCAACAAACCCCTGATGCCCGAGGCCACAGCCATTAGGCAGCAAACATGATCCCAGCCCATTGATTTTCCTCTCAGAGGGGAGAAAGGAGAAAAAAGGCGTAGTGGTCAAAAGGCAGGGAGAGGGGAGGGAAAAGACACGGTTAAAAACAGAGAGAGCAGAGAGAGGAGTAAAACTATAAAACCACCCTGCAGGAGCTCTCTTGTGTTGATTGTTGCAGCGTCCGGACACACAAACATACACTTCCTGTTGAGCTAGTGCTCTGTCACTGCTGTTACCATCGTCTGAAACTTACACACTAGCATGATATTTCCTGGAATGGTCCGTTTCTCTCCCATTATTTGATTTATCAATCCAAGATAAAGCATCGACCGAAAACGTCTCACTGTGTTTTTCTGCCATGAATGCTAATGGTGCCCTCAGTATCCTGTTTTCAATAGGTCACCGTGCTGAGGTGGATCGATCAATTCCAGAAATGTAACCAAATCCACTGGATCCATTTGGACTCACCCTGGAGCTTCTTGAGCACGGCGACCTCCATCTTGAGCACCTGTTTGGGCTGCTGGGCCGACTCCACCTTCAGCGCCACGCTGACCCGCGTCAGCAGGTCCAGCGCCTCGTAGATCTCCCCGAACCCACCGCCCCCGATCTTCTTCACCTGGAGGAAGATGATGAATCACTTCATGTGACAAAAAAGTACACATATAATCTGTGTACATGCATGGACAGTGAGATAACATTTTTTGCTCTCTCCTCAGGAAGGTCAGGGGTCAAGGTCAGCAATAGAACATCCTCCTTAATGTTTGTAGGGTCATGCTCAAAGACACCTCAGCAGGTCGAGAATGCTTAATCATGTAAAGGCTTGAAACTGCTATTATTATTAACGGCTATTATTTTTATTTTATTTCCACTTAGCTCCCATGGGGGTTTCACTAAGATCAGAGAGCAATATCTATTTTTTAAAAATAATAATTGCAATTTTCTTTTTCTATTGTTGATAATTATATCAATATATTTGAGTGACCTCTCATCAATTTTATTCGTCTTTGTATTGTTTTATATTTATTTTAATTTAATTTATTTTACAATAAAATAGATTAAAAGGACTAAAAGATTAAAACTAGATAAAACTTATTTAGTTTTTAGGCCAGTATTATTTAAATATTTAATATTTATTATTATTATTATTATTTACATTATAACTATTAAATTCAGTAAATAGTATTCTGTTGTCATCATTTTTATTCCTGTTTTGTCATTTTAATCTATTTACTATTTATTTTTATTTACTATTATTATCTATTTTTCTCTATTTCATTTCTCATTTCACACTGATTTATTATCATTACTAATATTTCTATTTAATTACATTTTCATAAGTTGAATTGTTTTTGTCATCTTGTCAGCCATCTCTGAAGGACTTTGAACTGCATTAACCTGTATGAAAGGTGCTATACAAATAAAGTTTGCATATTAATGTATATATTGCTTGTTAAACACTCCAAACCCCTAAAATATTCAGTTTACTATCACAAAAGACAAAGCTGAAGTGAAAATCTTCACATCAGAAGCTAAAACTAGGCAGTGTTTGACATTTTGGCTTGAAAGATGACTTCAAAGGTAAATTATTAAATAAATGAATGATCATAACTACTGCTTATTTCTCTAGTCAATAAATCAAATAGGAACTGCTTGACAGGAATGAGTGTGACAAGGTAATTAGCTCACTTGTATACACTTCCTGTATGACGTGCTGATAAACAGCAGGCCTAAATGGTTGCAGACTTTTCTCAATAAATATGACATAAAGAAGTATGTCATTCATTTCACAACCCTCTCTTCTTTATTTCACTCTTCCAAATTGCCTCCAGCAGTTCTACTGTTTCACTCTCACCTCTCAGGACTAGTAGAGCTTTAATGTCTCCCACGTGTCCTTCACTGTCCTCCATGCACACACACATACACAGATACAGAGTCTTGTGTCGCACTAGGAGCTAAAGTCGTGGGATTAGCTGCAGCATTCTTATGTAACTCCGCTCCTTAGAAGACAGGAAGTGGTGCCGGGCTGCCAGTAAGGAATAACAGCCTCACATGACACCCGGGCTGGCACGGCAGTGAGAGACATGGGCCCTCGGGGAACACTGCCGCTGCTGCTGCTGCCTATAGCACACTGCACTGCCACAAATAGCTATACGGGCTATTTTTAGCTCTCCCGTACTGCAGCAGACCTACCTGGACAGAGAGACACGACCCCAAACTGTCCGAGCCACAGGTGAGAAGCTTTAGAGGAAAGCAGGACTCATCACAGGCAGGCAGGGGGAAGCATTGTTAGACGAACAAAGAGTTGTTGTTGGTGTGACAGAGGGTGAGCCCGGGACAGGCAGTGATGGGGCTGGACAAACACAACGCCTATTATCGCCGAGCAGCATGCCACTTACCACTTTCCATCGTTCCTTGACCAGGGAGAGCACGCTTAGGATGTCAGTTTGCTCCGCTCCCCCGCTCATCCCGTCTGTGGACCAGGGACGCTGTCCTCACTGCTTCCCCCCTCGACCAGTGGCCTCAGACTTGGACGGGCATTTGGGCCTTGATGGAGAACCCTACAGAAGCCCAAGAGACACAAAACTGTCAGGAATAAAAAAAATAAATCAGTTGAATTTTGATTATTTAGGCTACTCTGCAACAAACTGATAACTTCCATCTAGTTCATTTAAATTCAAGAGAAGGCAGACATCAGACAGTTGATATATTTTGGGGTAAACTGTCCCTTCAAGATGGTGTTTGTGGTTCTTGAGCAAGCAGATGACCCGGTTTTTTGTCTGGTTGAACTCCATGTGAAAGTCTGACAGTCCCCCCAATTGAGAGACAAAGTTAAACCCCTGGCTTAATGTCTGGAGCGCTCTGATACTCGACCATCGCTGCAGCTGCCACACCTGCTGCCAGCAGCTGTCCTTCCAGACAAACTCGCCCAACCAACAGTGCTGCGTCTTAAATTACAAAAACACTTCATCTCAGTATCATTTTCCAGAGCTATTTATCTTCTGTGTGTGACAGCCCAGGAGCAGGTCTTATAAAGAAAGTGCTTTATGTCTTGTCAGATATAATGAGGGGGTTTAATCTGCCTAATTTTGCATTAGCTCTTGTTGCGTAGCATGGCAGATCAAGTTTGCATTAGAGATCTTGCTAAGGACTACTTTCCCTGATGTTTAAATAGAAGTTTAAAGTCAGAGTACCTGATCTAGAAGTAAGAAAACTCAGTCAAAAATAGTGCAATTTATTTGATATGGTTAAACATTGTCCAAAAAATACTGCATATAAGACCCATTTGAAATCATTTTTCACATTTTTCAATAACCAAATTGTATCTTAAATGCAGATTATCCTACAAAACAGTGTCATACAGGTTTGCCGAGTAGCCTGCTCCTCCTTGCAGATGCATATTCTGCCTATATGTAATCTAAATGGGTACGTTACTAAAATAATAATTTCAATAATGAAGCTCTGAGGAAAGTCCAGTCAGGAAAACAATCCTTTTTATGTTCAGGCTGTAAGTTTTCTTTCTTACCTTACCATTCATTTCTTGCACATATATTCACTCACTATCCCTAGGTGCCATTGTCCGGGGCTGTCAAGAGTCATCAGCTGATTCACAATCGACCAACAGCACAGTGACACACCTTTTCTGTCAGCCTATCATCTTACTACTCCTCATTATAAATATGGTTCTTTGTCTGCAGTAGTACGTGCCCTCCACCTCCCCATCACCACCTAGTCTTTACAGATTCATCAGCCTCATCCGCCTCATCAGCCATCAGCCTCAGAGTCATCAGCCACCTCCACCACCAGTGTCTGGACTCCATGGGGAGATTTATTGTGCTGCAGCTCAGATGTCCCTCGATCACAAAATATCTCCCTCTGGTGTCTACACGCCAAAGACTTCTGTTAAATCTTAACACACACAAATCATCTGTTAATCTGTACACTCATATTCTGTATTAAATATTATCTTTACTCCATTCTTCTGTCTCTCCTGATTGAAATAAGTTTAACCAAATAGTATTTCTGGTGGGTAGCAACGTTTATTCGGCTACTTGACTTATCCCACACGTCCCTAGTTTGCAACATAATAATGATGAAGCAGTATTTTGAAATCAAACAATATATTATCACATACTGCAGGATCAGTTTTGTAATATCCAGATGTTCATCATATTAAACTGTATAAATTTCATTCATTAATTTGCTGAGGATAGCAAGAGATTTTATCTTAATACCTAACTGAAGGCAGAAATGTGTATCACAATAACTTCAAAACATTACAACCTGATTATTTTAAGCAAAGTTATGTTGCAATTCCAAATTTTTGAGTAACCAAGTCAAATTGCGTGTATTATGCTAATGATCCACTACCTGTTCCTGTTCTAGACCACATCCCTAAATAAATCTGTGGTGTAAAGAAAAACTGGTACCACCTTCTTGTAAGTCTCATGCTATGAGAGGTTTAGTTGGTGGTTTTATTAATGTTAAATAATAGTAATTCTTCATCAGTTACAAGCTCTACATAAGAATATGTGGGTTACCAGCCTGTTAAAAATCCCTCTTTCTATTCTTTTTATTTAGTATTGATAGACTAACTTGTTACAGTAATAAATACTTGTGGGCTATATGTTTTAAAGAAGCCATCAAGTGTGTAGTCATTAGGGTTAATAAGCTGTAAACAAAATAATGAGTGTGTTTACATGGATGTGAATAACCTGTTTGCGATCAGGTTTTCAGAGTAGCAACATGTCCCGTTTATGAGAAACCCAAATATTGGAGTACTCCAAGAGAAACCGGGACGTATACGGGGAATATGAATAACCTGATTTCTCTGTGTTCATGTAAACACCATATCCTGAATATTATCACAACCGGGTTAAGCCTAGTAAATGGGTTATTTACATCCATGTGAATGCACTCAATGTTCATCCATACTCTCTGCAGGTTTTTCCAGAAGATGAATGAATTGAGGCGCAAAGACGAAAGCTGACCTGGCAACCCAAAAGGTGTTCATATATATGGCTTTTGACTGATTGATATGCATATTATTCCCATTAGAAAGGAGGAGTAATATTGGTAACCAAGTGAACTGCATATAAACAGATATTAGTGTAAAAAAATATAATAACAAAAATAAATAATAAAAGATTATATATAACTGATTTATAAAAGCATTAGGCAAGGCAAAGCTCTTTCATTTTTGAGGCAAAAGACTAAATATTGTAATAATAATATAATGATAATAAGACCTTTGGTTTTAAAAATATTTAGTCAAAAGTGCTCGAGAATGCTAAGGGTCACAGTTCAGATTTAAAATGCAGGCAGTGGTTGGGGCATTCCTCAGACCATCAGGCATAATGCTGCATAATGAATTAGTTAATTATTTATTAATAAAGCCATTAGTTACAACTCATAAGCAATTTGTAAAGGCTGACTGATTATAAAGTGGTACCAATAAATCTATTGTCATGCATCACAAGCTTCCTTTACATAAAAAGGATCAAGTGGAGCTTCCCCTGGAAAAGTTGTTGATGCACTCCTGTATTATACAACATCCATGTCACAGGTAAGCCTTCCTCAGGAGAAACACACACACACACACACACACGCTGGAAACTTCCTTCAGTCTGGCTTCAAAGCAGCCCCGACTTCGATTCATCATTCTGCGCACGGCGCGCAGGCGTCTACGGTTATGCAACGAGCCTTCAAAACACTATTTGGTTACGGGGCATGATCCCGACATCAAGGAGGAGGCAATCAATCCCATCATGCATCGGGATGAGGTGGGGAGATGGGAGAGGGCAAAGCGTGGTTAGACTTGATAATGACAAGTGTGAAATGCGACCCTGGGTTGAGAGTCAGGAACAAGGTGGAAGCTGACACACAGATGACACGACTGGACGAGATGTCTCAGGATTATAAATCTCTTTTATGACATATTATGACTTTTAATAGACTCTGAACTTTATTTTTTTAGTATGTAGTTAACACTTATAACCACTGTCTATTATAATGTCTGTATTTTTGCGGATCACTATAAACACTGACTGAAGGGATGCACAATAACATCAACACGTCATCAGTATAAAGGCCTTAGAATTAAATAACAGCACCAGCAGAGGCAACATTTCTGCCAATATGACAAGCTGATAAGACAATGCTTTAATTTAATTATGCAACTTTAATGGACTTTTGATTGGGCTATTGTTAGGATGACATCCAGGAGAGCATTTTCCAAGCCTGTTAAAGTAGGGTACATTTTACAGTGTCGTTTGAAAATGTTACATAAAAATAAATACAGTATGTGTTACATGTACCGTACAGTGTGTACATACTGTTTCTATTATGTAACACACCTGCACTGGCTACCTGATCACTACTGTGTTTTTAATATTGTATTTTGTACTGTGCAGTGTGTACATACTGCTTCAGTTATGTTAGACACGTGGATTTACTGTAGTCTGCATTGCACCTTGAATTTTATTCTTATTTCAGTCAGGAACACTTTAGTCAAAGAAAACTTTATTTCCATTTGCAGTATTATATTTGGTGGTATGGCTCTGTTCTGGCGCACCTCTGCCTTTCCTCGGGCCTACACAGAAAGCCTCTTCCATGCGCCTACATGGAAAGCCATAAGGTGGAGAGAGCACACCTTCCTGCCCTTCCACGTGCAAATAAGGAAAGCCTGAGGCAGAGAGAGCACACCTCCCTGCCCTTCCATGAGCCTACATGGAAAGCCTAAGGCAGGGAGAGTAGCAGCAAAGACCGCCTGGGAACAGAACAGAGCAGCATCAATGACAAACAGAAATGACACTGATAAGTCAGACACAGCATGAAAAGGAGGAGCTGGGGGTGGGTTACAAAGCAGGCCACAGCAGTTTAAATAGGGCACCCTGAAGGAGATTTGCCAATTGGTTGCATAGAATTAATCGTGATCTATCAGCTGACTCCCTTCCATCATTCAGCTGCTCCATCAGTTGATTGGACTGTTTGAGATCAGCTGATGTAGCTCGGATGTGAGCTGAGCTTGACATCGTGTCCTGTGTGAACTAACGCTATGCTTGATTTATTACATCTACTTGTTGTGTGTCGAACTACAGATGGAAATTAGCATGTAGCTAAATCTGGTGCAACAATGTTTTCATTTCTTATCAATCAAATATCAATCAAATAAACTAAACATGTAACCTAAGTTGAAGTGGTTTTCTTGTTTAGCCCACTGAATGTGCACATCTTGAAAAGCATGTATTTTTATGTCTGCATCTGCCAGTGGGCCATCGCAATAAGAGCAGGCATGATAATATGTTAATTCCAACCTGTCTATTTATTATCATATCTTGCTTTTATTTTCTAATGCTCACAATCAATCACTCAGGTGCAATATCAGTATTGACAAACTGTGCAATATCTATACTTCCATTAGTCAGTAATGTAAAATCAGCCATTGAGTCTTTCTCTTATTATATTCTTCTTCTTTTTGATGCTTCCTTATTATATTGATTTGTGTTTTTGCTTTGCACTTTGCTTTTGTACAGTTTACTTACTTTACATACTTAAATATTCATTGCTGTGTACTCTATTTTTTCCACTGATGCTTCCTATTTACGCTATCTGTTTTTGTTGCAGTGATGTTGCAAATTTCCCCGCAGTTCTTGTAATTAGATGGAAAAAATAAATGCATATATCTGTAGTATTTTTATTGTAAAACACACAATCTATACTTATATTTTCATAAATAAATGATCCTCTTCAATGTGCAATGTTATTTAGAAAATGCACTACATGGTTGAATTAAGGTTATTATAGTGAGTATAAGATGAGACTTTAAGAGCAGTGAGCCTTTAATTAACCAGTATTCCATTAAGAGAGTTACACAGATAAACAGTGCAATAAATTGTAATGTCTTTTCAGATCTAATAAAGATTGTGTGCTCAAGACATAGACGTATGATTAGATCTTGATACCAGGCCCCAAGATGGCGCCTATTCAGTCCAATGAGAATTGCTTACCCAGAGCAAGCGCCAAAAAAATGTCCCACAGAAATGTTTCTTTTTTGTTGCTAGACAAAAATCGAAAAAAATAAACAACCATTTTGGTTTTTGCTAATTCTTTTTTGCCATTTCTCATTTGGAACAGACACGGTGGACCGCCAGGAAGCGGAAGACAAGTTTAAAAAAGTCATATAAACGTGTTTTGTTTTGTTTTTTGTTAGCTATTTATTGCACGGTCAAAAGGGCACGTCATATGACATTATGAATACAGATTACAATATTAAGTAACTATGTAACATGTTGTTAGCAAGGTTATTATAGTTCAGAGAAGGCCCAAACCCACTGAAAGCATCTTTTGAAGTAGCCTACTGTTCTGGTGTCTTCTGTTGTCTGTTCCAAATGGCAAAAAAAAGCCGACAAATGGGCATTTTATTTTTCCTTTTTCATCTGGCAACAAAAAAACAAAAAAAATATGTTCCATTTTTCATCTTCAAACTAAAAAAGGAAAAAGGAATTGCCATAAACCAAAAACAGGCTGCTATGGATTGTTTTTTGTTATTTTGATTCTGTAACAACAAAGGAAAAACTGCTGTTTGCTTGTCTTTTGTTTTTGGTTTGAGGTCCCATTTATACGACAAGGATTTCAACCAAAAATGGTGAACTTAAGTTGCATTTTGGCTGATCGTTTACACAACAGCGGCGTTTCGGGTGCATGAAAACGCAACGTTTTGAAAACGAGTTCCAGAGTGCAATGTTTGGAAACAGCCCCATCTCTGTTGTAATGTAAACTTGCAATATGCAGTTCCTCTGAAAAAGGAGACTTTTCGCACGTGCGTATTACAGTGTCAGCCACTAGGCATGCACGAGAAAGTTAACCATCACAACAAAAATGCCGGACTCCCGAGCTCTGTTTGTGCTGCTCACCCTACTGAATTTATCAACGCTTCTCCAGCAAAGTGTAGATTTACTCGTCCGTCCAGAAAAACATTTGTGCGGTTGCCATTTTGTTTCGTTTTTCATCACCACTCTGTAAAAGGAAGCACATGTGTGCAGGCGCGTGTTGTTTCATTGCAAAGTCACACCGCCAACTACTGGCCTGGCATGTATACTACAGCATTTTTGGTCATTTTTGCGGATCAGTGTGCACAGCGATTGTTAACAAAATGTCGTCTGAATGCGGAACTTTTCAAAACGAAAACGAGAAACGATTCCATTTTAAGCGTTTGTTTTTGTGTAAACATGGCCTTAAACGAAGAACAGGAAATGATGTATCCAGTGATACCCTGACCCTTTCTGGCAACAACTTCTATCATTGTCAGACACTAAAAATCTGTATTTGTTCCTCATGTTTAGCATCTGTTATCTTACTAGATACATAGAAACCATGTGAGAGCTGTCTTCAGTGGAATCCTTGATATTATGCTAATCGGTGATGACTCAAAAACACACAGCAACGTAGCACGCCATCAAAACCACAGAGGAAACATGCTGTACAAAACCCTTTGAGCCACAGAGGGAGAGAAAGACTCACTGTAAACACTGATTGAATAACCTCTGCTGTGAGTCTAGTGTCACAACTTCAAGGTCACCCCACGTTCTAGTGCTTTCCTTTTATCTTTTTTTCATGGGAAGAAACACTTTCTCGGTCACATCCGAGCTGTCATGCATGAGTGGAGGAAATTCAACCTCTACAGCTTGAGAGTGAGAACATTAGAAAACATAAGCTTCTGACAGGAAAGGATGGATGTAACCGGAGGTCGCTGCTACCAAACGTAACCTATGTGACCTATTCTTTTAGTTAAAGGATAGAGTGTAAGAAAGTGTGGATAAGTGTGAGCCATCTTGTACCTTTGATCCCTTAAAAACAGCCCAAGTGTGTCAGATTAGTAGGAAATACACTGTACCATACAAGGAGTGCTGGGATACTACCTGCCTGCATGAAACAGCCCCTTCTCCACCACACATGCACTCAAACAGAAGCTCATCGCATGTGTGCACACACCTATGCACAAGCCAGACCGCCACACGCTGTGACTAATCTCACACCTCACAGAGAGGCACGGCGCCGCTCTTCCTCCTCCATATGAACCACCATCAATGAAGGAGGAGGGGAAAAATAAATAAATAAATAAATAAATAAAACACAGCCCAGGAGGAGCAGACTTTGGGACCAGAAATCAAACCACCAATCTATGACAACCGGCTCCCCTGTCTCATTGTGAATCATCCTGACCCCCCGCATCTCCACGGCGACAATGGTGCAGTGCCATTTTCGTCTGCTGACTGCGGCTCGTCGTCGCCTCTGCCCTTTTGGTCTGCTGCTGCTGCTGCTGGGAGCTGCAAGTTTTTACAGCTATGTACAGATACAGGGAAGCATCATGAAATGTCAGTGAGGGGTCCAGGGGCGTAGGTTTGGTTTTGGGGGGATTGGGGGCCCCTTCTAGAAAACTCTAAGCACCTAATTTTGCATATTCTGGTGAATCTTAATGCACCAATTTGTGTTTTTTTCGGCATTAATTTATGTCATAAATGTCCTTAATTTTGTCAAAATAGAAGCCAAGTTTTTACTGTGGGTGTCACCCCCCCTGAAATCTATGGAGTGATCCCACCCACTTAAAACTAAATTCTGGGAGTGACTGACAGAAAGCAAATGACCCTTAATGCCATTCCTGCAAGCATGTGCAATAACCCATGGCTGGAGTGCGAATAACTTGACTGAAAATCAAACGTCTGCTTCATTTCCTGTCCGATCTGAGAGTGGCCTGGCTCAGTTACAAGACTGGGAGACTTGTTGGTGTAAAAAAAAAAGTGTCTGGTCTGTCAACTGTGTGCAGGATGAGACCTGGAGAGGGGCCAGCATGGTGGAGGCCCTCCACTCAAGTCACAGCATGGATGCAACTGATCCAGACTGAAGACACTGTGCAAGATGGCATAATGGCAGTATATGTTGTAAATGGAAAGTGCTATTTGTGCATAGATACATATATATAAAAAAAACCTCTGGCAGGTTGTTTTCAATGGGATGTGACAGGCAGCAAACTGCAGCAGTGTCTCCATGCATTAGTCAAGCCGGCTGTCATGCAGGTTCCCAAATATTAACCCCATTCCTGCCCTGCAGTGGACTCACAGACTGGCTGTCTTTGCTGTGGAGAGCTGTTGCATAGCGAGCTGGTTGCCACAGCAGATTTACTCAGGCGCGTCCACGCACATTGGCCGTCCACACAGGCCACGCAACCTCATCCTGCCTGGCGTGTAGGAGGTTATACTGTAAGCTCTGACAACATGCAGGATAACAACGCATGCAGCTGCACGCGACACTCAATTCAAGGGGGTTGGGAGAAATAAACGGAGAGGGAGACCAGCACAGACTATGTGCTATGGCGGCCTCCCGGATTTCTGGATCCTTACCTTGGGTCTTTGCTGCCAATCCTTGATCCAATGAAGAGCCGGGTGTGGTTACAAAAAATCCGCTACGTTTAGAGGCGGCGGGGACGACATCGAGCGGAATCCCATAGCGAGCGGAACGTCCATGGAGGAGAGGTGGAGGCGGTGGTGGAGGTGGAGGCGGTGACGGAGGTGGTCGCGGTCGGTTGGTGCGAGATAAACGAGCGGAGGGTGAAATATGTCTGATATGTGGTCGTCCCTTTTCTCCTTCTGCCTGTCACCTCAGCATCTCTATCGGTCGCTGCGGATCCGTGACGTGACGACTCTGTGATGATCATCAGCCTTCCTGCGCGCGCGGCACCGATTCGATCGCCCCTCGCAACAAGCTCGGCCGCGCGCACCCGGGGTCTTTTAAAGCGCGTTCGCGGTTCTCAATGTTCGACGCGCGCGCGCTGTACACAGTCATCACAGACCCCAGAGTACAGCTTCAATATTTAGTCGAGTATTTTAATATATACACGTCGTGAAATTTAAAAAAAAAAAAATAGAAATTGAATAAAGCTTAAAAAAGTAATCTCTGTAGTGTTTGAAAATACAGTGTAATTTGTTTGGAACGCGGCCACAGAGGAAAGAAAGGACGCTTTTCGCAAAGACCGCTGGGAGGCGACATTAATTCAAAGATGGCGTATGTAACTAATGTTTTTTTTTCTTCCCTTTAACTTTTTTATTTAACCATTCGCACAGGTAATGTACAACACAAAGACAACAAAATAGAATAAATTAAGCATAATAAACTTTAAATTAACCATATATTAATCGTTATATTTTATATTTTATGTAAAGTTTTATATAAAATTATATATTATGTTAGAATTCTTATATT